CACACCTCACTCCTGAACACCGACCCTTCCCAGAAGGGGACTCCGTGAACACCAGCACAGCTGCAGAAGGGTTTGCTTTCCGCTTACCGCAAGCGCCTACAAAGACTCTTACACTGTCACATAAACCTTGCTGTACTGCAAGCTCTAAGTTTTTCTAGCAATACCAGTGTTTTAAAAATATTAATTCTAGTTTATCTGTTTTACTGTAGTGAACCCTTAAGAAGACATTTGACAGGAACACTCTTGACCAGAATGATTTGTCTCAAAAAGGAAAGGCTGAGTATTTTTTTAATTATTACTTCCATCTTGAAGACACCACCTTCCTTACACCCTCATCTTAAAGTGAAAACATGTTTGCACAGGTGAGGTCTGTGCCACCTGGGGTTCTGTGTTTACAGTTCTGTGGTGCAAGGTCAAGGTGTTTTCTTCCTGCAACGGCGTCCACATAACAATGAGAAGTGAGAACATTTGCACATACAAAAGGGAAGCAAACATTGCAACAGCCAGCAACTCCAGACCTATAAGTCTAAACTGGAGAAGATTGTGAAGTCCTAAGTCCCAAATATCCATCTGGGAAAAAGGTGAGCCTGAAGTTACCTGTTGATAACTCTGAATCTGAGCCAGGCAAGCACCTCAATGGCAGAATTCTCTTCCTGCCCCTACAGTTCTGTATGTACAGAGCTGAAATTAAATATCCTGTTGGCAGCAAGTCCTAGGTCAGTACAGAAAAGCTGTGCAGAAAGAGCATAAGACTTCACCTGTTATTTATATTCATATTGACTAAACGCCTTTTAGGAGTCGTAACATTTACCACAACCACATTAAAAATGACTGTATGTGTCCATTAAAGACCTTGTCAGCAGCTCCGTGTAAACTCTCATCAGCAACAATAGTCACCAGGTAAGAAGTAGCCAAGTATCCAAGTGTGGAAAACCTTCCCCATGAAACCAAGCCTGCACAAGGAAGGAATGCAAGGGTAGGTAGGCCTTGGACAGCCTCTTTAAGGACATGACAAGTGGCAAAGACATTGACTGCTGACAGTTCTCACAACACCTGAGCTTTCCAGCTGCATTGCTGGCAGCTTTAAATGAAATAAAAAAGCATCATTTTAATTTGGGGAAAATCCTGATGAAGAGAATCATGCTGATGAATATAAAGCAAACTACAATTAACATTATCCACAGCAGCCAGTTGACCGATTTCTTCGCGTGCTGCTCCAGGCGGTCGGATTCATCCTTGAGCTTCTCAAAGTTCTGGTCTGCCATCCTGAGGGAATGGGACAGTGTCTGTGGAGCAAAGAGAGCAAACGGTGTCAGACTCAGAGCTGCATGTGCTGGCTGACATTTCCTCCAACAGAGGAAACATTCAACCACACACAGCAGCAGATAGGTATTGCCTCCAGTCTCCCCACTCTAATACCACCTGGAATCGAGTTATAAGTACAGAATTTCACTTATGAGCACTTTAACCTCCTGTGTTGGAAAGTTGAGGGGTTACAGCTTCAAGGTGTGCTACCTGGTTGTCCTGTTTGATCACGTTCTGTGCAGCCAGGGTGTTGTTTTTGAGGCTGCGAGCCAAGCTGAGCATTTCCTCAGCCAGCTTCTCCTGCATGTCCTGGTGGTGCTGCAGCACAGCATCCAGCTCCACTGCCGACTGCTTCTCGTCTGATTGGGGGCCTCTACAAGTGCACAAGGGGAAAAAAAGGGATTTGTACTTCCCTGCGGGTCAATCTCCCAAGGTTTCCTCAGATTCTGCAACTCTACGGTACAACAAGGCCAGTTGAATCAGTTGAAGTCATTACAGTTTGGTTTCTATCAGCCAACACTTCACCCAAATCAAAGTACATCTGAGATTTAAAGACCATTGGGAAAGTAGTTTCCAAAATGCTGAGCATTGGAATGAGAAATTTTAACTTACTTCCGCTTCCTTATGTTCAACTCCTCAGAATCTGGGAAAAATAAAAAAAAAACCAGTTTAATTTGTGCTTTAGCACCTTATAAATTCCCATGCAATCACAGGCTGAAAAAACAAGTCTGTAAGGGATTTTCAGCTGTCCAAATCCTACCTGGCCTCTGTCCCAAGGAATATGGATGTCAAATGCCTACCTACTTTCCGCAGGGAAAAGAGGACATGTAACATCAAAAGAGGGAAAAAAACCCCCAGATGAATCACATCCCTGAGGGCAGGGTTTGAGCCCTGTGTATCTTAAGTGTTTTTTCAGGACAGGTTAGATTGGCCCAGCTCCAGCCACTGTAACAGCAGCCATGGAAACTACAAATTAATTCCTCCCAGTTCCCTACATGAAAAACATGGCTGTGTATTCCAGAGCCTACTCCAAGAGCCCAAAATCACATGATTGGCTCAAAGCAGAAGGGAACAGGAGCAACAATAAAGGTAAATTGTCCTTGCTAATTCTGTAACTAGAATGTCTGTTTCTGTACAAATTCTACAAAAAGAGGTTCCTGCAAGTCCCTGCTACCATTGATAACACTTCCGCTTTCATCTGTTTTTCGTTTTGTGTGTTTTTAAAATCTATATTGAAAAAAGGTGAGCCACTAAATTAAAAAATACACTTTGGGCAATCTCTAATACCTGACCTTCCTCCTCCTTTCCCTGTAAGACTCAGGTTGACTAAAGTTAGAAAAGCAACACATCAAACTCACCATTGATAGCCAAAGGGTCCTGGGAGGCAGAAAGAAAACCATAACAGCAGATTACAAAGGGTCATTGGTAAGAGACAGCCCTGCAGGCCTGGTACAGTGCCTGTGTCCAGGATTCAGACCACCCAAACCGGAAAAAAGGTGACTCCCCACCCAGGCTGGGACACAGCTCAGGCACAGCCACCCAAGGCAGCTGAAGGCAAGGACAATCTGTAAAGTACCAGCAAAGCAGCAGCAGCAGCAGCAAACCTACTGTACCAAGCAGCTCACTCCTCATCTGGCCCGTGCAGCGAGCCTTGGTCTGCAGATGGACTGTTTTGGTCGCTGGGGTTCTCTCCCTGGCTGTTGTGGGGGTGCGCCCGGGGGCCAGGAACTGGTTTGCCAGAGCCTTCTCTGTTGATGAGGACTGTGAGTGGGAAGGAGCAGTGAAAAGTCACAGATATCACACTCTGCAGTGTGAGGCACCTCGGTGCGTGATCACCCTCATCCTTCAGCAGCACTGATTGTACCCCATGAGCTAAAATCCAGCTTAGTGGTACTTCCCAGCTCTCCAGGTGCACACGGCACTATCCAGAGAGGTGTCGAGGATGAAGGACAGTGCCTGCCCCTGCATCTCATAGCTAAGGAGTGAGAAGGCTGTAGGCAAGCTGTACTTTGCTTTTGAAAAGGAGGAAAGAAGATTCAGATTTCATGCAATACCTCCTTTTAACAAAACCTGGAGTCAATACGTTTATTCACAGTTTTACAAGGGCTGCCTAGTAAGACTTTAACAATTATTATTTTAAGATACAAGATAAAGGCCAACATAGGAACTATGCAATAAGATGAAATAAACACAGAACTCTGAAGTCTTTTCAAGCTGAACTAGTAGATCTTACCAATTTTTCAGCTTCTAGGAGTCCCTTTAGGAAGTCCACTTTGCGAGAGTATTCATTCAGCAGTTCTGGGGCTGGCTTGCTATTGGAGTTGAAAGATAACCAAGAAAACCAAAAGTTACTGGCATTTGCTACTGTTCAGGTGACTTTCCAAATAAAATAAGACAGAAAAAACCAACACGTGGTTCTTCAAAGAAGCGTCTTTAACAAATGTAGCCTCAGGATAGGAACACACTTGCAACCCCCTGCAAATCACCTTTTCCAAGACAAGGAGAGCTCAGAGCATAGGCATTTCCACAGGGAAGAATATACTGTGGTGTTTGTGGGCTATGGCAACTTACAGATAAGATTACTATTGAATCACAAAATCATTAAGGTTGGAAAAGACCTCCAAGATCATCAAGTCCAACCTTCGACTGAATCCCCCCCATTCCCACTAAACCACATTACAAAGTGCCACGTCTACTCTTTTTGAACACTTGAAAGGGATGGTGACCCCACCGCATCCCTCGGCGGCCCGTTCCAACGCTTAACCACTCTTTCAGTGAGTAATTTTTTCCTAATATCTAACCTGAACCTCGCCTGGCACAACTTGAAGCCGTTCCCTCTAAACCACAAAACCACAACGGGCACCCAGGGACTCAGAGCGCTCACCTCGACTGCTTCTTCAGCTCCCGCAGCATGTCCTCGAGAGCAGCCACATACTGAGGAGAAAAATAAGGCTTTAAGCGACAGCATTAAGGAGAAACACCCGGTGTGGCAGAGGCAGTGGGTTTAACACCACGGCGAGGGTTACAGAGGGGCCGCCCCGCGGTGCCGCGGGACGGAGGGGCCGGGTGGCCTCACCTTCTCCAGCCGCCACTCTTCGGGGTCCCGCCGCTCCGCCGCCAGCGCCTCGCACCGGCTCAGCAGTCGCATCAGGTTCAGCTCCAGCCGCGTCGCAGCCATGGCGGCACCGGATCCTCACTCAGGCGCCGCTCGCCATCTTGGGGCGGGGCGAGGGGCGGGAAGGGAAGTGCCGGGCGGGCGTTACCGCCCCGGTTTATTTAAAAAAACACCCCCAATCAACCCGAAACTACCCCTCAAAAGCAACCCCTGCGCAGGTGCACAGGGGCGGCTGCAGCTCGGGGCGTTGTGGTGGCTGAGCTGAGCTCTTCCCTCACCCCAACGTGGCGCAGCCCCGTGAGGGGCCGGGGCACAGAGGCGGCTTCAAAGCGATAATGAACGATGGCCCCTCGCCCTCAGGTGTGTCCCCGCACACAGGTGAGGGGTGGGGAGGATGAGGCAGCACCATGCTGGCTTGTGGTTCACTCCAAGAGCACCAAAACCCTCCCCGGTGCCACCAGAGCCTTGTTAGTGCTTCCCCCATGGAGAGCTTTCCCCATCCTTTATCAGTACTTCATAAAGGCAGCAACACCGATTAAAGGCTTCCCTCGGAGTGAACTGCTCATTAGACAGACACTGATAAACTAACACCTGTATTTTTTTAAAAGTGCAACGTTTTAATAAACTTCTTTATACATTTTGGTCTCAGTTAAGGCTATTACGTTAAACAGTTCTGTAAACCACACAGAAAATTGTCATAAAAAAAATTAAGGCAACACACATTGACCTAAACTCACTGTTGGTCCCATGAGAGTCCATTGTAAGACAAATGGAAAAAGGCACAGCAGCGGAACTGGGGGGGCTTGTTTCCTGTACACTCAACCCATATATTTTACTCAGCATTAAATTTTATTTTTTTTGCAAGGTTTTAATTTAAAGTGGAAAATATTTGCTTTAAACAACCTTGCCGAACCTTTACAGTACTGTACATTTCCAGGTTGCCTTCCTGGCAGCCACTTAAACACAAGTTTACAGCCTTCAAAGGGTTAAAGCCAAAAGCTGTGGTCAACTTCAAAAAAGGTCCAGAGAGCTGAAGTATTTCACTTCTCCATACAGGGAATGTGAGAATAAGGATCTGAGAACCTCCGTTTGACTTTTGCAGTTGGTTCATATTCATCCACGAGTTCCTGAGCGTGGGCCAGTGCAGACCCTTGTGCAATGTATACCGAGTAGATGCTGTCAGTCCGCCTTGCTGGCTGCTCCCTACGTCTCACCACCTGAGACTCCTTGTTAGCAGAAACCTGATCCTGGGATTCTGTACATTTGAACATCCCAGGAGGGAGTTTTATATTTGCTGTTGGCATCACTGGAGTTCGACGGGGCACTTTCATCTTGGACAGTGTTAGAGAGTATCTGCGCCTTGAAGCCAGGGATGCAGAGTAGGAATGTGAAGAGGTTTGTGGGAGAGAAGGCACTTTGCAAATGTCTTTGGCAGGCAGGCTGGAGCTCTGAGCACAGCAGTGTAATCCAATAATTGCTTTACAGAAACAAGACACTTAGAGACTGATAGCAGTAACTTGATACAAGCCACCATGAGCAGATAGCATCTGCTCACCTGGCTGTATGTAGCAGAAGATGGAGAATAAAAAAAAGCACACACTACCTTAATACTGACCTTCGGTATCCATCCGGCCTGTCCTATCCTCAAGCAGGCTCTCTGTGCTTGCCGACGTCTCCGAGTCCACGTTTTCCTCGTCGGAGCCCCGCTGGTCAAGCTCAGGTAACCGGTAAGTTATGTCCTCTCTGCATCAAACACAGGCTAGAACACTCAACCAAGACAACATCTCTAACACGAGCTCGTGTTCAGAGGCAAAGTATGTAGTCATTAAATATTAATTCTCGTGGTATTTTCTCTCAGCTAGTCCTTTGTATTTTCCCTTTCCCCTCTACAGAACAGAATTAGAACCTTTTGGACAAAAGGTATTCTGCTTTTATGCTACCCAGGTGAAGGGGGACTTACTTTTCTTCTTTTATTGACTGTATGCGATCGATGAGAATCTCCTTTTCCCGGTTATTGGCTTCAGAAACTTCTTCATCTTCATGCACCGAGTCCAGCTCTGAGGTGCCACTGTCATTTCCTTTGACCTGAGAGCTTTTACTCTGCAAGACAAATTCATGCGTAACACTTCTCAGTTACAAGCAGCTACACAAGTCTTGGTCTGCAAGTTTCAGAGTAGAAGACAAATGAGTAGGTCAAAGGAAAGGCTGAGGGAATTAATGAAGAGCTGTTAGTTATCCATACAAACATTTCAAAGAGAAAGAGAAAATCTCCTATTCACCTGGTTTCTGGGGCTTTGTTACCTTTTTTGATCTGTCAGCCTCAGCTTAGTTTTAGTAGTCACTTATAAGTAATATTATTAAATCCAATAAAAGTTACATACAGTGTCTATAAAATATCAGGTGAGGACAGAACAGGTCAGCAGCCCTGCATGCAGTCCGGGGGTGGGAAGTTGCACCAATACATGCAGTCTTGATTGTTTAAAACAGTGTTTAAAACAAAGTTACAGCATGTGTAATAAGTATTTTAGTCATGCAATAGTACCATAAGAAAAGCCCATGCACTACACCCAGGCAGTTGTACGTACCAGCTTCCCCTCGTAAGGGGAAGAGAACCCAAGTTTTACAGGCCAGAGCTAGAGAGAGATGGAGACCAAATTAAACTATATGCCGCTTCTGATCAGACACAATTTGGTTGGTTTTAATCAGTACAACAAAAACAAAGAATAAGTTTATTTGCCCTACTAGAACACAGCATATTTTTGCCCACCAGCCATCTCTGGAGTGAAGGAGCTCCTCTGCCATGTCAGAGACTCTGTTAGTTCTACTGATGGAATTATATGGGAATAGATTTTGATCACTGCAAGAGCAGATCCCCACACCTCCGCACCCTTCATTTATCAGGCTCCAGTCCAGCTGTATATTTAGCTCCTACCTACAGCTCCTTGGGCAAGTCCTACTTTGGGCAAGTCCAAATCCCTTTTCTTCTTATCTTGCAACTGATTTTTGACTTACTGAATGAGATGGACAGGATAAATAAGTAGTACTTCATTTCCCAAAATCTGGTGGGATGATGGGTTTATTTCAATACTTACTGTATTCTGCCGGAGCAACGAGAGCCGTCGGAAAGCAATGCTCTCTGCTGCTTCCAGCTGATTGATCTCATCCATTTTTATCTTGTACTTCCTTATCTGTTCCTTTATGAGCATCTCTACACACCTGGGAAAAAGGGCAAGAGCATATTGAGCAGCCTCATACCATAAAAGCTCTGGAACAACCATGGTGGGATGAGATGCCTCTCTTGGCCTGGGGGTGTTTATCACACACAAAGTGTCCCAACACATCCCCTACAGGTGGCACTGCAGGGTGACAGGGTGGAGAGTCCAACACAGCAAGCAGAACAGGACAGGTAATGGTTAAATGTAATGGCATATGTTCCTTCTGGGACAACCAGAGCCTCCTACGCTGACTGTACACAATGGTGAGCAGACAGACATTACCAGGGCTGCCAACAAGCTTCTGCTGCTTCTACCTGTCTTCCCTGTGCTGGCACAGAATGAATCTGCAACTGCCCTTTTCCACCTCCTTTTCCACCTCTGTGGTCAGCAAAAAGTTACAAAAAGCTGTCATTTTTCAAACTCTGTTTCCACTGGAGGCAGATGCACAGCGAGGGGCACTCAGAGAGCCAGAGCTGCTGGAGGGTGAGAACAGAGAGGATCAAGGACAGAACCTTCCCCAGTTCAAGGAACAACACAGAAGAAATTATCAGGGAGTTTCATGTATACAGGAGGCAGCTTAACTCTATCATACTGTTTATTATGGCTCGTATCTCAGCAAAACAGATGACTGATGTACAATCCACCCAAAAGATTATCTTGAGGTAAAACACAAACCTGATATTTAAGACTTCTAAGTCATCCTACTTGATGCTTTGTGAACTGGAGACAGGTGGAAGGTCTGAGAGGGGCATATAAATTGGCAGCACCGGCAGAGCCAGGATTCAGCAACTCTTAACCCTCAGTTTCTCAGCTTGATAGGAACAAGGTCATAACAAATGCAGGCAGTGGTCCTGGCCTTCCATCCCACTCTAAAGTACTTTTTTTGAGAAAGTACTTTTCAGACTGCTAAAACTCACATGGTTGTTTTTGAAACGTCCTTCATGCTGGTTAAGGGGTCAGAGGTATCTGGACAGCGCAGGAGGCATGGAGCAAACACAATGGCCAAGGCATTGGGTGACATACGGTTGACATCTTCTATCAAAGCCACTCTGAAATCGAACATTCAGGAAAAGAGATTTTAAGCAAACCTTGCTAGAATGCAAGCAACCTGATCGCACCTTGCCAGAGTTCCCAAATAACACACAAGGAGGCCTCTCAGGCACTCAGTGCATATAGCAGTTCAAAAAAAAACATTAAAATTATTTCACACAAGTAGACAAAATTTTGTGCATCAGAAAAAGGACCAGGGAGTCACCCAGGTTAAACTAGTCTGGTAGCCTCCCAAAGTATGTCTGGTGATTCAGTGTTTCATCTCCAAGAACCATGTTCAGAGGGCACTTGGAAAATCCTCAAGTTCCTTAGATAAGAGCAGCCTCTTTTCCAGCACCATTAATCCCTGCTCCTAAGACTCACGTACGTTCATCCTTCATTACGTACTATCTGTATAAATCCTGGTGTTCAGATGATTCACCAAGACTGTGAGATCTACCTTATCTTCAAAGTTGTTCTTACCCGATTTGATCCAAACACACGAGGTTGTAGAAGTCACCCCGTATCTGTTCTCAAGCACAACTATCAACTTCAATTCTTTCATGTCTAAACCAGCAGCACAAGTCCTACACTAACACTTAAGGAGTTTAAGACTTTAAAAAGCTTCCAAGAAGCACTTAAGAGTCACACAGTTTCTCTACAAATGAAGTAATTACACTCATTACTTGACAAGATGGAAAATGAGTCGCTCCAGGGTATTATGATTTGCCTGTGGGAGCTGTTCCAGGACAGTGTAAATGGCACAGAGTTGCTCCTGTTTTTCTGGTAGTTCTGCACAAAGGGAGAAAGCACAAGGTGATAAATGCTCTGCGCAAGGCTAGTGGAAAGCTAAAATTTGCAAATTCTTAGAAGTCTCACTGTCATTTCATTCACCAACTGTTATAATTGAATGTTAAAGCATCCCTCATGGCACTGCAATTGTCCTGCATTTTCAAATGCTGCTGCTGTTAAACATCAAGTTTACTGATCAAGACCTACAACAATATTTAGGATGCCTTAATCCCACTGAAGTTAAAAGAATTTAAGGATTTGGGATATTTGGATATTAAGATCTGGTTTAGACCATCAAAGAGGAAAAAACACGCATGAAAGGCAACTTATTTACAATCTCACTGTTTACAGAAAGATCAGCTGTATAGTGATATTACACTACAATCCCTCCCCCCCCAAAAAAAGGGAATCTCGAAGCAAGATGAAGTAAGCTAGAGGAGAAATTCCCTGAAAAGTGTTTTATGTAAAATGTCTAAAATCTTTGCCATAACTGCACTGGAAGAAGCTGTTTATCCAGCATGAGCATCTTAAGAGTTTCTTCTCCCAAGAGCATAATGAGTTAAAGAAGAAATGTTTATAAAATTACTTTAAAACCTACCTACAGCTCGGAGGAAATCATTGTACTGTGCTGATGTCATCAGTGGGTCTGGCAGCTCCCGCAGCCACTGCTTAAGGATCCCCGTGATGGTGTGAATAGGGTAATTCTCCAGCTTCACTGAGTTTGGATCTGAAAAGGAATGTTTTACTTAGAGCAATTCATTCCTCCTCACAATTCAACTCTCCCATTCACAGAATCCGAGTGGCAATTCAGAAGAAAAGAAAAAAAAAAAACAACAAACCAACAAAAGATAGTAATTTAGAGGTACTAAGCAGCTTCTGGCAGCCAACAAAAATACTACAGCCTGCATGGTCACCAAAAAGCTGTTTTTAAAACACCAGAACGTGCCAGATACTTTCAGATAGAAGAGAATTGCAGGGAAAGCTGATATCACAAGGAAGTCCAAAGGGTGGACAAGAGTGCCTGACCTGCTTGCAGCAACTGTTTGAGCTCCTTCATCCGATTTGCTGACCCTGATTTCCTGTAGATCCCCTCCGTGTAGAGCCCGTGCATCTCCACGTATTCTAGCAACTTCTCCATGACAACAGGGACCGAGTTCCTCTCGCTGGTCAGGGAACTCACACTCACTCCGAAGTGTCGTGGTTCTGCATCCTGCTCATTCTGGAACAGATACAGGCCAAGTACTGTGAATCCTGTTCCCAAGCTAGGAAATTCCACTCTTTCATGCTACAATTATCTTATGCTTCCAGAAACTAAAGCTGAGTGTTTTATTCTAGCTTGCTACACGCAAGGCATAAGGCAGATTTCCTGAGCTGCAGCAATAAAGAACGCTTATGGTTCACACTGAAGGATTTCTTTATCAGTTTGTCCAACACTGCACACACACTCTGAAAGAAGAGTTCCCAAATTAGCTCAAGCATCACCTCTTAGAAGAATGTTCTGCCTCTGCACATGCAGAGCTGCACCTGACTATATGCAGAGAAGGGAAGTGTTTAGGCAATTTTTATTCAGTGCCTGGACATCCACTGTTCCTTTGCTGAGAAACAAAGGCAGCGTTTTGCATGCAAAACTTATGGTACCACAGAACCCCATGCCCGATCCACAGGCCTTACCTTTTTCCCACAGGAGGTACAGCTGCTCTGGATTTTGGACATGCACTTCTTGTGACAAGTCAACTTGCAAACTAGAGAGAAAGAAGCAACTGTTACAAGCATCCAAATCACATTAAAAACCACATTAGCACCTTGTTTTATTCACTGCCTATATAAACCACATGTACTGTTCACTAAGGCCCATCTGCAGCAGCCAAAGTTACAAGCAGTTTGCACATATGGTAACCTAAGCAGGAAGGCTGAGGGGTGTTTACTCACCACTGCACAGACAGGCTTTTTCCATGGGCCAGATGTAGGATGAGCAGTGCTCACACGACTGCCGGATGCTCACTTGGTAGTTTGTGAACACATGACCATTGTGTTCTTCAATCTGGTGGGAGACAGAAAGGAATTAGTGAATTTTTTTGCCTTTTAAAAATTATTATTATTTTTAATAAAACCATTTACCCTGTATCAGATTTTCCACTTTATTTTACAATTACAACTGAAGGCTTTGAACTTGAAACCAAATTTTGCCCTATCTTAAGGCAGTTGGGTTTGCTGGATCATTTCATAATTGGCTTGCTGCCTTAAAGTTCATCAGTGCAATACATGAGCTCTGGTTTGTTGTTACTATTCAATAGCTGTTTTCCTTTAAATAGTCCGTTATTGAGAAAGCCGTTGGCTTCTAAAAGGTGCTATGGACAAGCAAGAAAATATTTGAGTACCACCTATCACTGCATAAAAGCAAGATTTCTGATTTATGAAGAACAGTTTTATATCATGTCACATCTTCATAAGAGGTAAGTGAATTAGTATGCAAAATAAAACAGAATATCAGTACAAAAATCAAACTCTTCCAAGGGTGCTTAGTGTTCTGTGAGTGCACCTGAGGACTTGGACTATTGCAAAAGAAAAAGTACTCACTGCACGATCTTGTTTTCGTTTCTTCTTCTGGGCTTTGGTTTGCTGCAGCAGGATACAAAACCGCTGTTAGTCTTTGAAATTCAGATATTCCATTCCCTTTTTTTGCTATTCAGTTTCCCAGGCTCTACTTCACCTCCAGACATTTGAGACACTATCCTGCAGCTTCAGCTTGGGTTGTCTGACCTCACACTACCAACTTCCTAAAAACCAGCTGAGCTCACTGCCTGATGACAAAGCAATTCCAGCTCTCAAACCTCCAGAGAACTCCTGTGTTTTTATCAAAGAAAATGCACAAACACTTACTCTTAACATCTTCAGAATCTGAAAGTTAAAAGATTAACAATTCCAAAAAGGTGAATCAGCAAATCAGAATTTGCTACACACATAATGTGTGTACGGCAAGTGTTTGCCAAGTAACAAAGAATGCTCTGGAAAAGGTTTCTAAGGTAATTATTATGCTGAGACAGTAACAGTGTTTCATCATCCCATAAGCCAGTAACAGAATAACTTTTATACCTTGGGCTGCTCAGATTCCTCTTTTTTTGTATATCCTCTTATGAATTCATCCAGAAGGGATTGAAAGAGATTCAAAACCAGCTTGACTTCTTTCTCTTCTCTTTTTTGGGCCAGATTTGTAACCAGAAGCTGGTAATTTTCCACCAGATCTTTGTAGCCAACATGGATTTGTCCATTCTAGAGAAGGGTAAAATACTTGTAAGACAGTTTTTTTGGATAGTGTTGAGGCAATTTCATATTTTCATGTGTTTAAGTTCAGAGGTGAGAAAGCACAGCCATGATCAAAGTCAAAGATAACAGCCCATGACAGAAACAAGGTCACAGACTTGTCTACTGCACTGTCCAACAGCACTTGGCTGAGACAAGGCAGTGTCAGAAGGACACTGGAAAAGCTGTTGGCACCTCTCATTGGTGTCTAAACACAGCCACATTAAGAGGCTGAAGACAGCAAAATCCATCCATTTCTAAAAATAAATTTATGGCTGAGTGAATGTGAAAAGGGAAACAAAGAAATCTGCTTAAGATTACAGCAGAACTGTAAAATGAGTCTAACATTCAGCTTTGAACTTTACACTAAGAATTGCTGAACTGCTTTGTTAAAGAGCTGCAGGCCAAGCCGTTAACGTGCACACTCAACTCATTTATTGCCTGCCAACTTTCCTTTGCTGAGACTTAACTACTTACAGGAGCAGAGTACATGGTCTTGATGTTTCCTCTAAACTTCTCTGTAGCTTCAAAAAACAAACACTCAACACCAGACTTCCGGGAGCGTAAGTCATTGATCTAGAAGACAAATAAACCTGCATCAGATGTCATTAAAACAAGAACACCCCACCGGAGTTGAGCTTCCATTCCAATTATTTAAAACAATGTTTCTTAATACAACTGTGCTGATGATACAAAACAGGAGAGTCGGGTAGTTCAGCTCTAGAGAAATATTTCCTTACAACTCATGCTTTTTTTTTTTTAATACAACTTTTGCTGCCCACTCATTTGTAAACAAATGAAGAACTAACATGAATGGCCTGAGTATTTAATGCAATATAATGCATTCAGAGACTTCAAGAACGGAATAGGAAGGGCCCTAATACAGACTTGACTCAGTCAAGACATCCAATCAATTCCACTTTGCTTTTAATTATAACAAAAATTTGCAGCTAGAAAAGTAGGCTCTAAAATTCCACAAAACCAGTGAACATAGATTTGAATTTTATCACAGTTGAGAGCCTCTTACCTTGTTGAGGAGGAACTCATCCAGGTGTTTCAGCTCATTGGCATTTGCAATCTCGCGGACCATGGACGCTCGCCAGTTCTGGGACACGCTCGAGATCTTGCTGATCTTTATGGTCCTGTTCTTCTTTGCTTTGCTGATCTCCTTCACTGCCTGGGGGCGGCCTGGCTGCCCAGAAGAAGCTGGGAAAGAAATCAATTTGCACATTAAATCAGGGTGAATTCTGCAGTTTGTTTCCTCTATAGCCATGCAAAACCTCACAGAAAAGACATCAGCATGCTAAGGGTTAAATCACACAAACTCACCTTCTGAAACTTTCTGAGTTCCTCCTGTGTCTGTAAAGAGGACACAAGATACAAGGGAGAGGCCATCTCCTTCCTCAATCATATCAGAGCTCTCCTTTGGAATTTTCTTGTCTGGCTTTTTCCCCAAAAGTCTACGCAAAGGACTTTTAAAAGCAGACCTGAACACAAAAGCAGATACAAGTGTGTCCCATTAGAAATGGAAGCTGGTTCTGCTACAAGAACAGGCTCATAACAGTTACACACAACAGGATTAACCTGTATTAGGAACATTTTAGGTCCAACCTGCAGGAAAAATGAGCAGCACAAAAAAAGAAAGACAATGTGAAAGCACACTCGGACTTTCTGATATTTACTAGATTAGAGCAGAATTTTCAGCACACACAGAGACAACACATCCCATATCCAGAACACTGTTTCTGGCTCAGGAAGTCTCTGAGCTGCAGAGTGTCACAAACTGGAGGAGGAGGCCAGGGAAGTGGCATGACATGCTTGCTGGGTTCTTCAGCTTTTCTCTTGGGGTCTCCCTACAAGAGCCTTTGATCTGAGCTGTAAATTGGTTCTTATTTTAAAAAGAATCAGTTCAAAGACAAGTGTTATGCAAGAAGCAGAGAAGCTGTTCCCCAGCAGGGTCAGATATCAGGCCCACTGCAACATGAAGCAGTAACAGTCACTCCGGTAGCTGATGCCAACACGTGTCTCTCCACAACTGCAGTCTCAAGATGCCCAATTCAAGCACAAGTGGAAGATATCCTTTTTTTCCCCATTTTCTCAAACACAGGCCAGTCACACACACAGCACATACTTGGCATCTCCCTGCTGACTCGCTGGTTGCACAGGAACAGCCGTGTCCAAGGTAGGTAAGCGGTCACTGGGCTTCTTCTGCACAGGGTATTTCTTGGTGCCTTTTTCTTCTTCTATCACATCTGGTGACTGCTACAGTAGAGAGGAGGCATCAAAAACTACATTGTGAGTGAAATAGATTGTCTAAATGATTTTAAAAAATAGAATGGTAAAAAAACTTTGCTTCATCAACACAAAACACTTTAGCTAAAAACATTAGCATATTAGTATAAGATCCAAGTATATTTAATGCTTTAACCACAGATCCATTTATTTAAAATTAAGTTTTCAAACTCTTGTATAATATTTGCTAAAGATTTTTTTACATGGATATCAAACCAAAAAAAAAAAAAAAAATTCAACCTGAAGGAACACAGGCACACAGAATACTACAGAATTGTTTACAAATCTTTAATATTTATAAGCAAGGATAATTAGGTATAAATATGCACAATAGCATCAGTACCTGATTCATGGCAACAGTCTGGGCCAGTGTTGAGAGATCACTTAATGAAGCTGAACTCCCCTTCTTCCTGCAATGTTACAGGATAAGTTTCCGAATATATATTTTAATTAAGTCTGTAGCCCCTTAATATTTAACAACTTTTAAATAACATACATATCGATGTTATATCTGAGACAGAATCTTGATCAGCTCTTGCAACTCACTTTTAAATGCAAAATTTACTGGACAAGTGAAAAAAGATGGGAATGTCAGATTTCCTGCCATATCAGAGGGATGATGGTTGCAAACTGCAGCTCACTAAAATTTTGTTTTCAGTGGATAAAAGACACATGAAAATACACTCCAGACTCTACTTCATCTAAAGCCCTGACTCTCCATTTTAATTCAGCCAGGCAGGCTTTGTATCTTTTGTGAGCTTCTGAAAACATTGTGCCCATACAGATTCCCTGCAGGACTAGGAGCCAAGGAAAAGCAGTTGTTCATAGCTCCATTTGCTCCCATAATATGGCCAGGCTCCCAGGAATTCTCCATCTATGTTTAAACATTCCAGATACCTGTTTTCTGTAAAGTAAATAAAAAGGAAGCTGCCCTTACTCCAGTTGATCCTGAGGAGACTTATCCACACGTGTCCTTCCATCCAAGGATTGACTCAGCACATCATTCTGACCAGCATCAGACTGTCTCTTGCCTTTCCACTTCTCCCTCTTGTACTTCAGCTTCTCTGGGTCATCCACATATCTCTGGATTGCAGAAGAAGTGGGACTATCCAGGTCTTTGGTTGCCCTCTGACCAAGACGTTTGTTTTTATCTGCCCAGGGGTCAGATGGACTCCGAAAGCTCCCAGTAGCTGACAACATGTTGTGAAGATTCAGTGCAAGATTTGTGGGCCTTTCAGGGCAGGTAAAGCTTTGGCTGCCTTTTATTTGGTTACTCTGATTCCCTTGTGTTTTTGTTCTATCAGCTGCCACATCACCCTCTTCTGATACCGGTGGTTGCTCAGGAACAGAACCACTTTCCTTTATCTCACTTGATGGTGGCGTGTCTGGAAGGGCTTTTTCTTCACTTGGACTTTTCTCTTCCTCACTGCTTCCCTGAGGGACAGTATAATCTTGTGCTGTGGATTTCTCTGGCACTGGAACAGTTTCCAGGGCCTCTTCAGAAGGGGTTTGTTCCTCAAGGCACAGCGAAGATGGTCCTTCGAAGGACAACAGGACGTGCTTGTTCTGCAAGTCGTTGTGTTCCAGCCCCCTCTGCCGACGAGATTCCCTCTTCTCCCGGCTGGTGGTTACTTTCTCCGAGCCCTCTGTCGTGTTCTTCTGGGGTAATGTGGCTATCTCAGATGAGCTCAGGTTTTCAGATGAACCTAGGCTTTCAGCTTGTTCATTCTGAGCTCGATCTTCAGCTTGTTCATTCTGAGCTCGATCTTCAGCTTGTTCATTCTGAGCTCGATCTTCAGCTTGTTCATTCTGAGCTCGATCTTCAGCTTGTTCATTCTGAGCTCGATCTTCAGCTTGTTCATTCTGAGCTCGATCTTCAGCTTGTTCATTCTGAGCTCGATCTTCAGCTTGTTCATTCTGAGCTCGATCTTCAGCTTGTTCATTCTGAGCTCGATCTTCAGCTTGTTCATTCTGAGCTCGATCTTCAGCTTGTTCATTCTGAGCTCGATCTTCAGCTTGTTCATTCTGAGCTCGATCTTCATCCCCAGCAGCCTGATCCAGCTCTGTTTCATGTTTCACAGGTAGCTCATGTGTTGTTGGCTCACTCTGCTCATGCTTGCTCTTATCATCCTCTCTGTCTTCATCTTCCTGCATTTCTCTCTGCTTTTCTTCAGCTTTCTGCCTTTCTACAGCCATTTCCTGATATCTGTTAAGAATTTGTAAGATGAAAACACAAATATTTAATGCCCAGTGGTCAAAGAAAGTACCAACTGCTTAAATGCAGCCCAAATAGCAATACAAGCACAAAGTACAGCTACAGTCCCAGTGTGCCCGCTTGTCAGGACTGGCAGCATCAGTGCAGCTCAGCTCAGTAAAGCTCAAGTCCTGAGCACTTAACCAGCGTCCACACACCACTGGTCACTTGATACTGAAATATTACGTGGTAATAACTATCTTTAACTTCATAGAGTCCCAAAATGGTTTGGGTTGGAAGGGACCTTAAAGCCCATCCAGTGTCCATAGGCAGGGACACCTTCCACTAGCCCAGGTTGCTCCAAGCCCTGTCCAACCTGGCCTTGGACACTTCCAGGGATGGGGCAGCCACAGCTTCTCTGGGCAACAGTTTATTAAGTTGTTTATTCAGTCAAAACATCACACAAACTGAGCTTGGCAGGTGAAGCCGAGTAGCTGAGTCATATTGCTCCTCCTCCTTTACCTCTTACGTGTCAGGTGCCCTCTGACCAGGGCCTGCAGGAGACAAATCCTCCTCCTGTGCTGCAGGAAGTGTTTCCGCTCCCGGTACCGTCTCCAGGCTGCCTGGATCTCGATGGCAGCATTGCTCCTCTGCAGGGCCATCCTGATACAGCGGGAACGCCAGCAGGCCTGGAAGGGATATTTCTGAAGTAAGAAAGAGAGGGCTTCTTCAAGGTGGGGAGCGTTACATAACAGTTTGTTGGGAAAACAAGGTTGGCAATTCTTACAGATACCTGTAAAACAATGGCCGCCTGCCGTGTCCTGAGAAAGCGCCTCCTTTCCAAAACCATCCTGAGCCAGCTCTGGAGAAGAATGATTTTCCTGATCACTTCTTTGTGTAGTGTATCCTGTAGTATCTGCCTTTCAGCCTCTTTCATAAAAACCTGCCCAGTTAAAGAAAAGTTCATCAAAAAGCAGTTAACAGGAGCCTTTGAGCCCTCATTGGAGGTATAATGAGATAATGGTAATGCTTAGCACTGCACCAAACCTTACTGGCTGACAGCATGCCCAAAAAGTTAAAAGTCCTTTTAAATTTCAGAGTTTGCATTCTAAAACATAAAACTGTATTTACAGCCTTCAAATCACAGGTCCCTTCTAAAATGAAAACATCGACCTGTTTGACAAATGCCAATAGCACCATATAATACAGATTTGTACTGTGTCAAGAAAACAGGTTGGCATTAAAACCAAGGAGGCAACTGTAACATCTGTGTCAACATTTGCTAGTTAAAACAGCTCATTTTAGTACAAAATGCAGAGAAGAGTAACACCTGTAAAAGAACGGCACTGAATTTTGCAGTGTACATCAATGTTTCTTACTGCCTTACAGAAAGTTTCACAGACCTTGGTCTTCCCTATTTGATAGTAGCTTTCATTCAGTTTTAGTTTATTCAAATAAGCACAAATGTCTTCCTTAGAGGCTTTGGCATCTTTGGGCAGTAACACCTGAAATTGGTCTATGAATTCCTGCGAAAAGCAGAGACAGCAAGAGACCAAAGTTAGAAGACAATTCACAAGTTTAGAGTTTTAGCTTTAAAACATAAATCTGATTAAGACACTTATGCTACAGAAACCTGAAAATACTTCAAACAGAACTATTTTTCCTATTCTGTAAAATGCAGGCTTCAGTCCAGTTAATGGTAAAGATCACCTGTACGTGATCCCTAAAGCTACCGGATTGTTTTACAGAAAACTAACTCCCACATGGAAGCAGTACTGTGCAGCACTGACTGAATGCTTTCCTTCATGCAACAAGGAACAACTTACTGGCAGATGACTCGCAATAGTTCAACTACAACTTTTTACCACGCAGGCTCTCTCAAAACGACAACGCATTTTTACAGTTCACCCCAAGTCATGAGTTTCATATGAAGAGCCACAAAAGACTCTGAGGCAACATGTGCTTTTCCAAATAGAGCAGATATTTCTGAAGACACAATGCAGTTCCTTACATACCTGGAATGTGTATTTGGCACTGTAGCCAGACCTCCTGATCCTCACAGTTTCTAGCATTCCCGTGTACCGTAACTGCTGAAGCACCAAGTTTTCATCAAAAAGCATTTCTTTCTGAAAGACATCAGCAGACAACATGCAGTGAGCACCTGAAGAGTGACAGTGAACAAGTTGAAAGAGAGATATTACAAGGCTGGAGCCTTAGACCCTCAGCACCCAGCTCAGCTCCAGGGCAGCCTCACCTTCTCTGCGTTGGAGCGGATGCAGCGGATGAAGAAGGGCTCAGCTCTGCCCAGGGTCTCCAGTAACTTATTAAGTGAATTCTGAAATGAAACATTCAGAAATATTTTTCTTCTTCGGATATCAGCATTTTGAGTTGTGTTTGACTGCAGTGCAGCTTCTGCCTCAGGAATAAGATCTTTCAGGTCTCTTGGCTATATAAAATCCTTTTTCATCCAAGCAGAGGTTCTCCCACACTCCACGGCACATCCCTGTCTTTGCTTTTTACCTTTTCTCAAGAGAATTTAAAGCAGTGTTTGCTTATGCTGTAACAGTAGCACTAGATCTGCACACAAGGATGAGGCTGGTTGGCACAGAGAACTAACACATTTCACAGCATAAGGGGAGTCTTTAAATGCACTGACTTTAATCAAGTAATAACCCTACTTCAGACAAAACTCAAGAATAAAACCCGTTGTTTACCAAGCAAGACCAGCCTAGATTAGCCCGGGAGGGCCTGTTCCCTGAGGGTGCACCAGGGGTATGTCACCTACCTGGAACTGGGCACTTATGCTGGGGGGTTTCTTCTTCTTGTGCAAGTGCAAAAGGGACTTTGTGGTTCGGTCGTGCAGAGTCATGCTCACTATGAGCTTCAGCGATTTGGAATCCAGCAAGTTCTAGAAGAAATTTTTCATAATCAACAAAGTGCAGGTCTCAGTTAAAGGGGAAATACTTCTGTCTGCATCCAAACGAGTAAAAATGAAACCAGCTACCTAGAGTTCCACATTCAATGGCATGTTACATTTTGTAATTATTTCTATTTTGGACAAAAACACTCCTTAAGAGGGAAACTTTTCCACTGCCCCATCCCAAGAATATAAGGTAAACAAGAAGAATTACGTAATCACTGTGTTTGCCTTCCCTGATTTGAAGTGACTTTATGCATTTATGGCACCTCCAGTCTAACTAAACAGATGCTAGCTCACAATTTTTTCCTGTTTAACAATTCTTATAAAGGTGAACATTTATCTATTCTTAGCTTGTCAGAAGAGCATAAACAACACAACTTTCCTATCCTGTGAAACAATATTTTCTGCAGTGAGTTCTGGCAATCAAAATTAAGTTCACAGTGAAAAAAAAAAAAACAAACCAAAAAAAACAAACAAAAAAACAACAACCAAAAAAGAGAGATCTAAATTTTCTGAATAACCTTACCTTGGGAATGATCTGCTTCTGTTTGATACCTTTACTTTTCCTGTTAAAATAAATATAATTTAGGAAAGAAATACACATGATTTTTTGTTATTTCAGCAAGCCATAAGTTATATGAGATAAGATGAAGGACAGAAGAAAATGAGCACAAACAGCAGCAGGGTGTGTTCACGTGTGTCTCTCGCAAGTAATCAATGCAAGAAATGCAAACTGCTTTGCAACAAGAACGTCTTTTTATTAAATAAACTCTGTAGGTATTGGAAGCTTTCAAAAGTGAAAGATTTTCTCTGAAGTTAAAGCTGTTCCAAACTGCACTGTTTCAGAGACTGTTTCAGTGTGAGTTATTCTATTGAACTGTACAGTCACTGAACTCTTGTTTAATACTAAGGCACTACCAAATAAAAACATTTGACTCACAAGTTACTATTGCTTGCAGCAGAACCCCTGTGAAAGTACCTAACTACTCCCAGAAGGACAATGCATGTCCCAGCACCCCACCTGGGAATTCTGGAATGTCTGAGCTCATTCCCAGAACTGCCTGGAGCAGGATACACCTCAGGCACTGCTCCCATCCACACACAGAAGGTGAACAAGTAGAAGCCCTTAGAAACAGGCCTGCAGTTCACATCCTCCTGACTCCAAGCATGTGTGAGGCAGGTTCCAGCTCCGTGCCACCAAGTTCACTTATTATACATTTACTTACGTATTATGCAATTATACAGTTACTTATTATACAGTGGAGCCCAGATTCATTTTCTGACACAGGCACAGAATTGTACATGTAAATACTCTTAACCCAGGAATATATCCAGCCTCTGCATCCTGAATTTCAGGAAATCATTCCTTATACCTTGTGAGAGATCTCACTGTTGAATATTTTGCAACAACAAGCTCGTACTTGGGTTTAAAGCAAGCTTACGTGAGAAGCAGGCTTCACTTTCATCTAATGCAATGAAGCAACAAAGCGTTCCCTACAGGCTACTTTTCAGAAGAGATGTTTTATTCTTCATTGTCTTGCTTAGTTTTTTGCAGAAGACAAGCTTGAGACAGGTATCTTTTTTAGGGAGTGGAGTAACTGCTTGGTTCTTGTTGCATTTTCAAAGCAATCACCAAAGCACCAGAACTCACATGAAGTGGGAGTGGTGTTGAAGGTGGTTGAGTGACCGAAGCAGCTTGCAGGGATCCCCCCCCTGCCAGGGCAGTCCTTTAATACTGGCGATGATCTGCTCATGCATGTCTCTAAAATGGTCCACAGCAACACAAAGGTGGCAAACAGAGATACACAGCAATGAGGAGGGGGGGAAAACAGGAGTTAAAACCCCAAGAGATCCCATCATCAAGTATGCTCCAAACTGTGGCAGGTCGATCCCAGGCTACTTCTTCCTAAGCGTGAATGATTCTGATGTCAAGTCAGCACTTTCTACTCCATCAGTGCCCTAAAATTTAATTGCCAGGGTCTCATTCTAAACTTACTCTCTAATTCTACCTTTTAATGCAAATTCTTGAGCCATCAATTCAGAAAATGGAGAGAAATTCAGCAAAATGTACTTAACGGGCAGGGAACCCTTTTGTTTAGCCAAGTAGTATCCTTTTCAGATAGATATAAGCTTCTTAATAATCAACAATAAATATTCTTAACATATATTTGATTACTAAAATGAGGCTACTTAAACACACATCAGAAAAGTAAGTTACAAACAAGTTGTTAGGAAGATACTTGAAGAAATTTTGGTTTTCATTTCCATTTCAAAGTTATTCACGTTTAGCTTTTCAAAGTAAGCCTGGGGTGGTCTCTAATTCGTGGCAGATTCCATTCCTTAAGCATGCACTGTGCTTGTGAAGTGTTGTGTCCTGGCACAGAACTTACCTTCTTTACTCTCCAAAGAGGCACAAATTAAAAATAACAGAAGTGTAAGAATCACTTCTGACTGTTAGATGCTCTCACCATTCTGAGCAGCAGCACTATTACAGACACCTGTTGCTTCCCTTGGTACCTCTGAATATTTTGGAATATCAAGATTTGTTTTAAGATGTCCCAAGGAAACAGATCTGTTATTCTATGACTAATCCTTTCACCCAAATTGGATCTTTAGTTCTTAATTGCCCCAAGTGACAGAGGCTGTCCAGGATGAAGTAATTAGGAAGCAGCATGAAGTCACTGCTTTATGTGCTCCATGGCTTCACTGTTATCCAGAGGATTCTCAGAAGGTCAGTATGGCCTGGAAATGTGCCTCCCTGGCCTGGAAGTTCAGGCCTATTGCTACTTACTTCTTGTTTTCATGGAAAGGAATGAAGTCTTGGAAAGCATTTATAGTGTAATCCTCAGAACAATCAAATGAGAAATCAAGCACTGAGTAGCTGCAAAAGGAACATATATAAAGCCTAAATACTCCATAGAAAGGCAAATCTGCCTATAGAGAACACTGGAGGCAGTTCTGTAGCACATGCCTCCCTCCTAATGATGTCACAAGGCTGCAAAAACATGAGTGCTCCTATGAATCCTTCAGTGACACAGACTGGCTGCAGACGAACACAATGCTAAAAGCAACACACACCAAGCACAGAGAACTCAAAACCCCAGAGGTAAATGGGTCTGAGGCTGTCCCCAACATGTGGTAGCACTGGGTCTTACATAAAATGAGCTGGAGTGTTGTTTTCATAGTATTATAAAGGCCAAAGAAAACAAGAGAGAAGAAATGAAACTTGCTCTCCTTGTGGAAAGATCTAGTTGATAATTTGATATATGAAAATGCAACTCAGTAATTCAGCTCTTTTCCCTGGACAGGTTAAGGATGTTTTCTCACCGATAAACTTTTTCTACTGGAGTATTGGATCTCTGGAGTTCAGCAAGGGGAACTCTGGGTCCTTGACGTACCACTCCTGTCAGGAAATAACCAACAAGTTGCATTTTGACAAAGATACAACCATAACAGACAGAAAAAAACACCCCATCAACTGTAACAAGAAAAATGTCTATCCAGGGGCCTGGAGTTTTTATTTAGGATTTTATCGAGCTGCAGCACTTTGCTTCTCAAACTCCCTACTTCTAGAAAGTAAATTGCAGCTGCTCAGAAAAGCTTCTTAAAATTAATAGTTATGAACTATTAATTTTAACTATGAATACTCATTTGAAACTTCAGAGAGGTCTAAGAAGATCAAACTAGTGATGAGAATGCATACTAGAACTAGAACTATCTTCCCCAGCTTCACAGAACACCACAGAATATTCTTAGTTGGAAGGGACTCACAAGGATCAGAGTCCAACTCTTAAGTGAATGGCCCATGTGGGGATCAAACCCACAACCTTGGTGTTGTCAGCACTATGCTCTGACCAACTAGGACTTCAAATTTGGCACAGCCTGACATGGTGCACTGATTGGAGCTGGAAGGCTGAATAATTTCAGGTAAAACAGTGACAACCTCCTTGATGTGTGACTGTTAAACCATTTTCACCAGTCGCTTTGCCCTTAGTGCCAAAGATTGTGACCAGTTGATGCGGTTTTACCACAAACCTGCTGGTTCTGCCAGCGAGCACTAACCAACTGTAGAGGATTCAGTTTTCCCTGCCATACCTGCAGTTCTCTGAGCCCTCTGACGTCCCCCCTCTGCAAACACAGCCATGGCCCTGATGGCCGCGCGCAGCACAGCCCAGCGGAACACGGCCACAGGGTCCATCCCAATGAGCTCCCGCACAAACGCACTGTCGCTGCCCCGCAGCAGAGCCACGATATCCGGCCTCATGTAATCCATGTTCTTCTCCCTGAAATCCTGAAAAATAGCCACATTGAACTACAAGCTGTGCTTTGACCTAAGGTATCACTGTTCAGAATAACTCATTATTCCAAATAATTCTCACTATAGTGTTACCCTCCAGTCTACACTACCACCACCCAAAGTACAACTGACTACCCCTTAATCCAGCTCATTCCCAACAAATTTTCTACACCCTTACAAAAAACTCCCTCAGAAAGGCAAGGATTATTTTATGGCCATCAGATCCATCACCTACTTTGATCTGGTATTTCACTTTTCCAGCAAAGTGGCGGATGATAAAAGCGGGCTCCATCACCGGGGTTCCAACAAAGAACTTGTTCTCCTCATGCTGTTGTTTGAATTTCGCCAGTAGTGTTTGGTTGGTGGCATGTGGAAAACTGGGAATACAAAACAAAAGAGGCCAGCTACTTCTCAAATACGGGTGTGTTAATTATGGTGACAGAGTGAACACCTATTGATCCTTGTGAAAAGTATTAATTGTCCAAGATCTCTATACCTGCTCTGAATTTTAGAGGTCGGCTTAATTTCTGGACCCAAACCAAACAGCTCCACACACAGCAGAATATTCTGTATGTCAATGTTTCCTCCCATTTCACCAGCCAAGTTTAGTTAGGACATTAACTATTTGCCACATTTGCTACTTAATGTTCCAAGGAATTACATACATGCATTTTATTTTAATAATTAGTAATTCCACGGTAAACCACAAACATGGAAGTTTCTAAATTTGCTTAAGCCAAAGTTCAGTTCTAGCATTAATTTATATCACCACCATATTGGAGTCATTAGAAGCAAACTACAGTGTAAATCAGGGTCATAAAGGACCCTTTGCTTCCCACAATATTCCTCTCCTTTTTCAAGTGCTGTATTCATGTTCCCATTCAGTCCTTCCCTCCTCCCTGCCACACATGTTTTTCCAGAAGATGTTTGTTGCTTACTTGCTTTCTTCATCCAGAAGATAGAACAGGCCAGTGGGCTTCTTGCTGATTAAGTGAATGCAGGCCACATTATCAGTATAGTCAATATTGTGCCAAGTGATCCCTTCACTCTTATATTCCTCCTGTGTAGCTCAAGAAAATTCCCTCATCAGTACAGTGCCCTGACCTTTGATGTCCTGTGCTCTAAGTGCTTAAAACACATCCTCAAACAGCAACAGCAAGTGGAGTTTGTTAGTTCAGGCAGCAGAGACAGAAATAAGGAAAACTTATAAATTAGAACAGAACAGCAGGCAGACTGACTCAGATTAAAGGTCCACTTAGGCACATCACTCAACAGTGCATGTTTGGGGTAGAATTATTTAAAAACAAAAGTAGAGAAAAGAATGTTCTGCTGTGCTCTGCCTTCCCAGCAATCACAGCCTCTGACTCTGGACTTAGACATGATATCTACAGCATTCCAGTAAAGCCCTGTGTAGACACATCAGAGGAGTTTATTTTTCTCTTCCACAATTCTTGTATTATAGGAAATGACAAATACTTATTATCAAGTTCCAGAATTTTCAAATTGCACTGTCAGAAGTTTCAAAACAGGCAGTTAAGCTCTACACAAACAGCACCAGAACTTCCCCAAGGAAGCAATGGATATTGCCTAGGTTCAAAAAATTTGGAGCTCTCTGACAAGAGAACGTGAAGCTCTTCTGCTGAAATGACAATGCATCAAATGCTCAACAGGACAAGCTTCCTGCTAAGTTACAAATAAAATATCAGATTTTCTTAATGCTGTAAATACCCACAAACTAATGATAAGATACTAAAGTAAAAGAAGGTATCATACAGAAAATCAAATAAGTTTTATATTAAACAAAGGACAAAGAGCACCTCTCAGTGCTCTAGATGATGATGATAAATGCATTATTTTTAAGTAGGTAGAATTCAGCCTGCCCAACAGACTGCTCAGTGTGTGCTGCCTTACACAACTAAAGTGCCATTTTCCACAGACAAAAAAGCCTTTCTTTAAAAAGATATAGAGATCCCCCTGAGGGCCCTCAGGCTGCAAGAGATACAGGAAATGGGTCATTCAAGGATTAAGCTTATTTGGAAAAACAGCATTAGAAAAAGAAAGAAGACAATGCAACTATTTACTCTGGTCAGCCTGGATAGCCAGTTCTGTCATAAGTTACAAAACACGGACCTCAACATTATGTTTACACACAAAATTTGGATGTTTAGTAATTTTCCTTTCTTTAAAATGCTTGTTTAAATTTATCTACGTGTTGTTGACAAACTGCCACATACTACAGAATGACTTCTTCCTTTTAGCAGAGTGACTTGAGAACCACATTTTCACACAAAGCAGAAAAAAAATCCAAGTTTCTAGAGCAAAAGCCCCCAGAGCTCAGTCTAGAAACAGGATCTGTTCACTCCTGCAGCACTCAAAGTGCTCTGTAAGATAATACCATCTGCAAGCAAGTAAATCAACACATGCCAGTAACATCAGGATCTCAGAACTACTGCCAGTATCAACATACAGTTGTATCCCCTAAATGCACTTGGGTGGGAAAAGCAACAAAGACTTATTAAATACTTAAGAACTGATAAAAATAAGAGAAACTGTTTCCTACTCATTAAAACAAAGCAAACCCACCTCACCTACAGACTTTTAATATCAAACTTTACAGTTTCATTTGGGAATCACCTGAATGTTGTCTTAGTTTTTGCAGTTAAACAGGAACTTAGTGCCAGCCCTCTGAAGAAAGATCTCACTTCCATGAGTACACACAGAGCACTAAATAGATGAGCAAAGCCACTACTTTCAAACAATAACAAGCAATAATGAAACAAGAAGTTAAAAAAGTAAAACTTCCAGAAATATTCAAACAATTATGCCAAAGGATTTTGCAGAATAGAGGTTAAGTTTGCATAATACAGGAGCTCTTGATAAAAACAGTCTTATTTCTTGTTTCTTACCTGTTCCAATTTGAAAATGTGCTGATTGAAATAATACTGAAGCTGCTCATTTGCATAATTTATGCAGAACTGTTCAAAACTGTTGGTTTCAAAGTCTTCAAATCCAAAGATATCAAGTACACCAATCGACAGACACTAAAAGAAGACATGGAAATCTAGTTAATAGTCTGTTATACAGTGCCTTAACCCCCAAGAGATAAACAGTACAGAAAGCATTGCAGTCTAAGCTGATAGATTTTGAATACTTGAATATTTAATTTGAATATTTAAGAGTTTTGTCTATTCTAAAAACAGAGATGATTAAATATTACCAAGAAATTTACCATGGGCTTCTTGATCAAAATTTATCCCAGATACCTGAACACATCATTGATCTAAGGACACAACTGCCTGGAAAGACTTGTTTTGGGAGAAACTTACTGTAACAGATTCCTCCATGTCCTTCTTATTAAGAAGTGCATGATTGATTCTTAGAACAATCCAATCAAACAGAGCACTGTACAGGGACTTTGCCATGGAATCACGAGCTGTTATTGCCTGCAGATCAAACAATGTTCAGAACTTCATTTAAAGAAAAGCATTTCTGTTTCAAACCAGTGTCACTCACAGATTGGAATCCCAGCAGAGACAAATAAAATCACGATTTTCCTTTAATGTCAACTTCTAACTTTCCTAACACCTTCACAATGTCGAAGTGTACTATATTAGCTTTTTTAACCCAAAAAAGTAAGTTTCAGTTATTTAAAATCATTCTACTAATGTTCTTTTACTCACCTCATTGAGACTATAAGGCAAAATAAGCTTATCATTAGCAGTCACAGTTTTTCTTTTTGTTAGCACTTCTACCAGGATTTCTCGTTTAACCTTCAAAACAGGAGAACAAGAGTTACTGTCACCCTCCAGCTCCTCAATGAGTAATTTGACAGCAACAGTGGACATAGAACTTCCTCAGAGAAACCCAAGCTCTTTGACAACATCCAGATTTATCATCCATTTACAACTTCTTTAAATTATTCTCAGCTTGGATTCATTCAGATGTTTCCCTGTGGTGGCAAAGAACACACCTACACTGAATCTACTCCTGATCAGCTCTATTATTGGTAGTAAACAAATTCTGTTTCCATGCTACATGTCTAACCTAAATGATTTCCTAATTTCATGTTTCCCCTCCCACAAGACAAATGTAGCGGAAGTACTAAAAAGAAGATCAAGATACAGCAACTGGGATATTATGAGAAATAAAATAGTCTGGTTTTATTATAAGTAGAATTAAGTAGAAAGCGAGGGTGTTGGGATTTTTTTTTTTTCTTTTCCTATCTCTCATTTGACTACAGGAATTTAGGCGCCCCGCAAAGATTGTAAGGTGGAAGAGCCCCATCAGGGCTTGACACCAAGGGAATGTCGAGGCCAAGGTAGGATACAATATATATAAAAATGAAAAATTTACTCCGGCCACATGGTAGGTCTTTGTATGCAAAACACCCCCCTGTACTGTACAGGGGGATAAGTCATCAACCAATCAGGTGGGAGGGCGACACCCCTCCCCAGTTTGAAAAACTACCTTTTAAGGTAAAATACCTGTTACCTGTTGAATATTCAACATCTTAGGTGGCCAAGAGTACAAAGGGGCACGGGTTTTTGAATTCGGGGTGCTTTGTCCAGGCTTGGGACTGCACCCAGTGCTGCAATAAAGTATTCTTTCTTGTAAGTTTCCCTGTCCTGCACATGTTTTTGCTATTTTATAAATTGGAAGAAGAGATTTTTCTCACAGATATCCAAGTGAAATGCTGATGCAGAGCATGACAAACAGGTGTATCAAACATTAGGGATTAAGAGAAATACTTTACTTTTAACAGCTGGGAAAGAATGTCCAACACTTCAGGAGGTCCCACATCCAACCCTTCATCCCGACCTGTGGCTTTCTTCTTGTATGTGACATTACCCAAGTAGAGAATAGCTGAAAGTATTGAAAAAATCCTAAGGAAGAAAAATTAAATTTCATAAGAATTTTTCTGATGAGATCATTATAACATGTTAACAGAGCCAATTCTACTTCAAGAATTTGTCTGTAAGCCCTGAAACACTCAGGTCTCCTTGCTTCCTACTGAACTGCTTGTGATGCCAATGCACATAGGGCTTATTGCAACTCATGAACATCAACTATTAGTAACAAAAGTTTAAAGAATTCTACTTACTGTTTCTTTGTTGCTGAAAGGAAGCCAACCATCTCCATGGCTTGTTTCAACCTCTCAAATTCATGCCGGAGATCTTCCCCATCTTCAATTTTCAAGTTATGCTGTGAAGAGAGACTCACAACTAAAGGCAGAGAACGAAGCCCAAACATCACAAGAAAACAAGCATAATCTGTCCTGCTTCCTTTCATCTTTGACATAAAAGGCAGACAAACCTTACCAATGCACTGGTAAGCCCCTGTCACAGGTTACCTGGTTGAGGTAGAAATAATCTTCAGGTTGCTTGAGGTGAAATTCTTTACGTTCTTCCTCACTGACTCCAAGTAGCAAATAATAGAAGACATGGTAGTTCCTACAAAGTCAATACATTTCTCTCATGAAAATATGATTTTTATTTTATGTACTTCAGATGCTCTTTGAGTCTTCCATTGATTGGAATTCTTTTGGAAAACTGTTTTAATCTCTTACCTTTCATCTTTCTCTTGAGAAACCAGACGAGATTTTTCAAGCAGGTATTTTTCAACAACAGCCCTAAGGAGCCACCAGAAAATGAAAAAAACATGAGGGCAAAAAGAAAAGACTTCAGAAAACATCAGGCAACAACTGCCAAGAGAGTTCAAATAAGTTCAAATAATGAGATCTGCACTAAAATATACAAGAGAATAACTTAGTCACTACCTTAAACCTAAAACAGGAATTTCAGTAGGCCTATATTATGATTGGAACACAGAGAAATATCTAAGGACATCTATCTGCAGTGTTTGGGTTTAGTGGAGATAACTGGAAACAGGCAGACAAAGCAAAGAAAGTGCTGATGAAAATTGTGTATATGTATGGCCAGTCTTCGCGAACGAAGATTTGGGAAAGGTCATTACCTTTCGAGCCTGCGCAGTGGATTTTTAGGTGAGACACTGTGTGTGCTGAACTGAGCCCACCCTTTAATCCTGAGGTTCAACTGCCAGGGCCAAGCGAGCTCGGACGGTGGCAGCGAAGTCCTCGGGACGTAGGTTTGTTTAGAGTGACCTTCTCTTAGATGGATGGCCTTACAGGGCTGACGAGCTCCATCTACCCGGGGAACTCCTCTGACCGGGAATCGAACCCGGGCCTCGGCGGTGACAGCACCGCATCCTAACCACTAGACCACCAGGGGAGCCCCTTGATGAAAATTGTAAACAGAAACAAGATATACAGAACGGTAACAACATGTTATCCCGGGAGATTAACAGTTATCTGACAAGGAATGTAAAGGCTACAAAACCCCCAAAATATTCCAGGTAACTGTGTGACTCTCAGTTCAACAGGACAGTGTGTATGCCAGCCTAGAATGGAAGCCAGACAGAAATCCCCTCCCGGTGTGATATAGTAACCTCCTGAATGAGATTTAAAGTCCTTGACGTGAGATACAATGACTGAGGACAAAGTTTGAGCAGCTTTTTCTCATGCTAAAGACAAAACAAGTGTATTCAAATTGTATCAATCTCCTGAGCTAGTGTGACTTCGTCTGAAAAGCTGCCAAACTTGTTCAGAGTAACACTCAAAGCAAATGTGCTACAGAGTTCCCAGTCACTTATGTGATTGCAAACATGAAAATGATCCAAAGGAAGGAAATATTGGAGTACAAAGATCAGTGATGGCTCCTGCCACTCCATAGTGCAGCAAAACTAGCAAATACAGGCACAGGATATTTCACGTTTGACACACAATTTCAATTAATTAAAGTAAGAATCTTATCACTTTTTAAATCTCTCTTAATTGGTGTTTAAACTGTTCTTTAAAATGGCTTCCTTAAATATATTTCACTTGTCTCCAACTCCTCTTAAAAACTCAGATCTTCTGTTTTTCCATGCAAAATGGAGTGTTACGAAAAAGCCCTCATTTAGCAGGAAGGTAAAGATGCAGCAGCAAATCCTTAACCTGATCCAGTTGTACAGCAAAGTAAGGATATTATGCATGACCTGACAATTCCATAAAGCTCAGTTAAAGACTCTCAAACATTTGATATCCAGCAAGGTTTCCCCAGTTCCTGCAGAGATCACCCCACAACCACCCCATGCTGTACTTACCCCCTGACAATACCATTCTCTAAATAGTTGACTTGAATGAACTTCCCAAAACGACTGGAGTTGTTGTTATGCGCTGTTTTTGCATTTCCAAATGCCTGTAATAAAGCAAAATGAGTTAATTATGAATTAAACTTAATGTGTCAACTGCCAGCTTTCCAAGCTCTTCTGTGCATTGTCCAGACCCCCATTAGCTTCCAGTATAAACTTGGAATACTATGGAAATGGCAGCACATAGATACCAAAAAGGCAGCTCAGGAAGCCCCCATGTTCCTCACAGATCTATATATGTTTATTATTTGCCCCATGCAATAATATTTTGAGGGACTGAGGGAAGGGAACAACACATTCAGATATTTTCAAGAGCACAAGACAGGTAATCACAGCTAGAGAGTACAAATCAGCCTCAATCCCTAACAATTAGGACCTTAGAGAGGATATTCAGCTGGAAGGAGGCAGCACGACTACCATGAAACTGCCTCTCCCATACAAGGGACACAAGCTACGTCCTATTCCCCATTTTTTCTTTGAGTGAGACAGAACGTTAAGATCTCATTTATAAAGTTAGCCCAAGTTGTGTATTCAAAAAACAGGAGAAAGACAAACAAAACCACTTCGGTTTACAGAACCACTCACTCATTGGGCAGCTACTCTGCTACACAACATCAAAAAATGTAGTCTCATTTTGAGGTTCTAGGAAAGGGGGGAAAAATACGTATGGCACAAACCCTAATTGTGCATCTCTAATATTTCTGTCGGATCACGAGTCCTCTGATATCACAAAATATCCTCAGCATGAGCCATGCTTAAAAGTAAGTTATTACATCAAAAAATCCAGTAGAATTAGTTATCGGGAATGTCCTTAACTTTATCAACCCTTAACTGTGTGTTCCAAGCTTAAGGGGAACTTGTCACCCTGTACCATGAGCAGGCAATGCAGCACCTAGAGCAGAAACCCTGTGTAAGATGTAATTGTTTGCAAAAATACCCTGCTCAGGGTAGACTATCCCCAGCAATTCCTGCCGCAGATATTTCCTCTTAAAGCTCCAAGTAATTAAAGCCGCCATTAGGAAATCCTCCTCCCTAATATAGAACATTCAGGGAATGACTGCACAGAAATGCCACCCTCTTCCTCCACACACATACATCCGGAGTAGGAGGGATAAGGACTGTAGACAACACAGAACTGAGCTGTTTATACACAAAACTGCCCAATTATGTTGTATTTCCCTACATACATATCATGTTATTTGTATACTGAAAGCCTTCCCTTCTCTTTTGGTTTTGGGGCTTTTTTTCCAAAGCACCTTAAGGGTTGCAGCCATACTGCAGTGGGACTCCAGGATCACTAATTCCCAAACAGATTCTCCCAGCTTTCTACCTTTCTATCTCTTGCAAGATTTCTGCCACAAGCTGTCTCATGTTCAGAGAGCCTGAGAAACTTCCTATAAACTGGGAGAATGTCCATAATTCTTAAGGCAACTGTTATTTTTGACCTAAAGGACTAAGCTAAAGGAGCTCTTCCTGTGCAGATGGACTGTGCTGTAACTGCAGAAGGGCTTCTGGAGGAAGAGGATTTGTGTCCAGCAGTGGCTGAAGAGACAGGATTTGTATGCAGAAGTGCCTACCTATGGCTGGAGGGAGAGGATTTGTATCCAGCACCTCCCAGATAGCTGAGCTCAGCCTCTGGATTTTCCAAGACCACACTACATATCTCACAATACCAACAGCACCTCCACTCAGATTTTTCAAAGCAAGCATTGCCCAGCCATCAGTATTTTTTTGTAGCTTCCATCCAAAGTATCACCCAGATTTCTCTTTTCAAAGCCCATCTTGCATGCACATGCATATTAATATGTGCATAAAATCCAGGTCAACTCCTCAGCAGGGACCAAACCAGAAGTGAAAGTCCTGTGACATGAACACAGCTCTGTAAATCAAACCCCTCTTCCTCTCCAGGACAGTGGCTCAGCTCTGGCTCTCTGACAAACACCGTCCAACTTCCCATTCTGTGCCTTGGGAAATCTGTTGGAGTGAGCTTTGCCAGACTGCAGAATAATGGACTTGCAAATTGATCTCACAGAAACCTCTTTTTCTAAAGTTTTCTAACCTAAGCCACCAGTTAACCATCAGTTCACTGGTTATATCCAAGAAACCAAACCACAGTACAGCTACATTTGCCACATTATTTTGTAAGAACTAATTTTTGGCATTATAGAGTTAAGAAACCCCATAACTTGGGCTTCCTGACAAACTTTTCTTAGTGATTACTCATGTAAGCAATGAATACAGTTTAAAACTAAAGGCTCTTATGATCTCATGTGTCTGGTATTTGGTCAAAGCACACAGCAAATTCTTAAAAGCTGATCTAATATTAACAGTTTTTAGGAAAGTTTTCATGAATGCTTTCCTCAGAAGAGCCTTTAACATCTACAACGTTTTACGTTCCAAGTCAGTTAACATTTTGGGTAGAGAATATTTTTTTTGTTACATTTAACTTTTAACTCTAATCACTAATCACTGTTACCATGTCCTTCCATATACCTTGGTGAGTACAAAATAAATTCAGAAGATGTGAGGGGACAAGAGAATCTCAGGTAAGGAGAAATAAATCCTTTATACAAGCAAATTCATACACTGTTTTCCCTTGTGAGTCAATGGAGACAGATAAACCCAAAAAATTAAAACAAAATTATTCCAATGCACAACACCAGCAACATAAAAAGAGGGTGAGTCAAAAATAGCAGAGCAAGGGCAGTGGGAATCAGAGCTGGGACAGCCTATTCCAGGAGGCAGAAAGTCATCCAACCCATCTTCTTAGCCTGGAATGCAAGAGGCATAAAGTGGATCTGACACTCAAAACTCCTACAGCAGTGACAGATATAAAAGTATTCAGAAAAACATCAAATTCTCCCTTTATTTGTCGTCAAAAAAACCACCCCAAACCAAGCCACACACATGCTCCCTCCTAACACAGGAACACAACTAAAAATCTCATTGTATTAATTCCTAAGAGTTGCCAAAATCTGAAAAAGCTACTGGAGTTTCCATGTAAATCACAGACAGAGCCACCACTGCACAGCCCCATCTTCCAACGTGCCAAATGACATGGAAGACTCAAATTCCACACCCTGGAAGAGGAAATTACTTCTTTGGAGTTGAGTTTGGTTTAACAGTGGTCTTTACAACCATGCTGTGAAGTACGCACTCACCCAGTGTTCAGGGTCATTTTGCAATTCCATGTGCTGTGGGATGTTCCAGGGAACTCCAAGCATGGTAAGAGTAAAAACGACCAGGTGATTTTTTCCCCAGGAGTTGTGTGCAGCAGGGAAAAGCAGCAACAATGCATTTTTACCAAAAAAATCAAGTAACATCCAAGCAAATGGAAAAAGGAAGTTCCATTCCTCCTCTGATTATGATTCTTAAACAAACAGATGCAGATAAATGTTTAAAACAACCACTTTCCCTGGAATAGAACAGGCTACACCCACAAAATGCATGTACAGGCTTTGATGGCAAATACAAATGAAAACCAGAGTTGAAGCTTCAGTCCATCTTATCCCAAAGCCACTAGCACAATGGGAATGTCATAAGGAAAACAGAGCTACAAATGGTTTCACTGTGATTTCCATAGAACTGTAAGGCATAAAACTTTCTACAGTTAAATTTGACACGTTTTTTAATGTGGTGAGTTCTAGAAAATCTGATCCCCCCCCACCTGTTTACGCTGTCAATAAAAATTCTCCTTTAGAAGACCACTTAATGAATGCTTCCTGTTGGACTTTTCATTTCATTTGGGCCTTAATTCTTCCCAAAGAATGGTTCAGTGGCATTAGGAAATTTTCAAGAATACATCCAAATGGGAACAAGCAATGATTTTCCATATAATATAGGAAAAATTAGGATTCCCCCAGTATCTGTCCCACCTCTCCTCAACTCCCATTTCAGAGGGAAATGAACTTTCAGCACACTCAAAAAGTAACTGGAATTCTGTAATAAACCCAAGATACTGAGGGCTACAATTAAGGACAGACAAGTCAAGAAGAGCTCTGCTGCCAGAAGAAAAGGCTCCAATTCCCTCTATTCCCTCATCACATGCTCCCATCCCCTTGCTCAATTCTCTGCCACTTTATTAAATTAATTGGCTTGAAGAATAAGTTAAATTTAGGTTTCCAAAATAAATTCAGTCTTACATTGCACACTGTGCATTTTATAGCCAAAACATGCAGTTAAGACATTTTTCCCTGATGAAAGGAAAATATAAGTTTCTAATAAACTTCTTCAGTGTATATGGAAAGGTTCAATTCTCTTGTTTGAGAGTTCATAAAATAAACAAAGCTTTGATTCACTAGTCCCAATTTGACCCAAATAATAGTTCCCAAATGTAAATTCCTTTTTAGGATTCCAATTGAACAGTCAATACAAGAAGGCAAAACTCCAAGTCAGGGAACTAGATTTTAATTACTAGATTTAGAAGAGGATGAAAAAGTTAGGAGTATCTTAAAAAGGAGCTTATATTTATCTTCCCACTGGTTTTAAAGAAATTGCTCTTCACTAGAGATGATCTCCCTTATCCTGGAGATATAATTAAAAAACCCAAAAAAACAACAAAAACCACAGCATAATCTGAGAGTTAAAGCAACTGAGTGTCTCCTGAACTGTTAAAAATCAGCACAAACCACAGCTTGGGGCTGTGCTGAAGCATCACTGCACCATGGAAGGACCCAGCCTTTGATTCCTCTTCTCTAGAAAGCTACAAACAGTGCCAAGTGTAATCAGAATTATTGGAATTGAGCTCTGCTTATTAGATCCTCAACCAGGAACCTTGGAAACAGCTGAGATTGAGCAGGAAGCATCTGAGGCTCAGAGCTGACCCATGACCACCTTCCTCTCCCCAGCCCATGTGACAGCACTTGTGCTGATACCAGATTTAATTTTTTAACTACACTGGCTCAGTATCATGTCTTTCGTTTCTCAGATGTTCGACAAGGTAATATCAAGCATCATTTAATGTCAAATCTCCTTTCCTGGTACAGCTATAACTCCATCCTTCAAAGCCTAGAAATTGTGAGCAAGGAGCTAAAATATTAACAACAGTTCATCTGTAAATCACTTAGAGATTTGAATACAGATTAATGAGCCAACACAGAAACAGTAAAAAATGTTTCCAAGTTCCCTAAGCATGCAATAATAAAATTATGAATCCACCTCCACACCACCCTAATCGTGCTCACCCCTCTGTGCTTTAACCCCTTGAACTTTTACAGAAGGTCAGCTTAGAAACAGACACATTTTTACACCACTAAAATGAGGAAGTTCTGACCCAAAATGCAACCCACTTCTACATCATGAAGGTTTTTAGTCAAGAGTACATGTTCAACTCTGATGAGGACTCAGAATAAAACTTCAAAATCAAACAGAACATTCTCAAATAGTTTTGGCACAATGTAAAAAATCCCCCGAAACATCCATGTAAGAAAAATTCCCTTGTAGCACTTTAGTTCCCTTCAGTAAAACCCCAAAGTGAGTCACCGTGGATGGATTTAGACGTGACCAACTCTGGCAGGAGTCTGCAGTAACTTCCACAAAGCAATATAAGCTTTTTGTGCATCCCTCCCCAGGACTAAGGTTTGACTTTTTTTTTTTTTAAATTAAGCTTAGTGACTGGACTGGGAAACATGGAACTTGACTGTCAGCTCTGCTGAATCCAATCAGGGTGACTGGATTTCACTTCTTATGTTCTAAACCCACCATAGTGACACTTTTTAATGCACTCTGGATTTACATGAATATATATTTAATTCTGAAAGATATTTTAGGATTCAGATGTTTCTATTGTTTACATTTAGTTGTGAAAATCTCTTATCTTTTGGAATATTTGGGAGGACAGGCTTACACTGAATCAACTCTGACTGACAAACACCCTCAGAGAAGCAGATCAAGAAATTTCTGAGAATTTCATTTTAGACAACATGTTAGAGTCTATCTGGCAAGTCTGCAAGCTAAGCTTTCAATCAGTCATCAGATTTCCAGCTAACAAGACTATTTTCTCACGCAAATCATTCCTAAATGCTCAGTGGAAGTCTGAAGTAGCTGTGGTACTTAAGACAACAATCTTAGAGTACGAAATCACAAGTATCTCCTCATGAACATTCCCAGACAAACACAACCCTGACCTGTGGCTCCACCAAAGTTAGGAATTTGAGTTTTGAACCCTCAGCAGACAAACAGGCACACAGGGTTTTACATCTCTGCCTAGTTTGACACAGCTGTATCATGTCTGCAGAGGAGGATATGAAACAGTTAAATTTATCAAAGGCAGCAAGATCAGCTGATCAAACAGGGCTTTCCACAGTGACCCCTTCCTGTTTTCTGGTTAAAACTGTAAACGTGAACTCCAGCAACCAACAAGCCTCAATTTTACTTCTTCTTTCAAGCAGCAGAAAGCAAGGCAAAAAAGAACTTGCACATATTCCTTATTCTTTACAGAAAAGCTCTAAAAAAGCTTAAACTTCTTTTTATGAGAGTGCTGTTACATTTGAAACTATTTAAACCTAAAAATTACAATGGCTGCATTCAAGCTCTTTGCTGTTGAAGATTTTATTAGGGTTGACCTTTACATCCATCCACACTTCCAGGGTTTTTCCTTTTAGAGAATAAAAGGGAGAGGCTGAAGCCTAAGAGACCAGTTAAAGTTTGTCCTGCTGTTACCTAGTGTAATACCAGCTGTGCCTTCTCTTCTCACGTGTTTAGTTTTGCTTTCTTTTGGAAATGCTGTAATAATTAAAAGCCTAAACACTTTCCCACTTTCTCCTCAACTGACAATGATGCTCTCTTCCAAACAGTTGTAGAAAGGAAATAAATCCCTCAAAAAGTGAGTTCAGAAAAATGCTGCAGGACATGCTCACACACAAAGGCAGGATCACACTAAGCACTTGGTGTTTCAGTGGAACAATCTTTATAAAAACATTTGCTGACAATTCTATTCAAATGCTATCAAGGCTTTCAGATGGAAAACACAGGTAACCTGTGTCCCAGAATATGAGTGTTTAGTGGTGGGAATAAGTCACATATAAATTACAAGCAACAGGAAGTCAACTGAACAGAAGGACGAGTTAAGGAAAAATCAATTAGAAGCAGTTGGGTAACACTGCCAAACACCACGGCAGTCCAGTGACATTTAAGCCTAAACCAAGTGACAAGCCTAAAACCAGTGACATTTTAAGCCTAAACCAGGTGGGTGACTCAAAAGCAACATTCAGCAGCAGTTATTTGAAGTTTTCAAACCCCAATTTTCACAGAAGGCAGTTTGAGCACAGCTTTACCTCCAGGACTGGTCCAGCTCCCAGGATGGTTCTCTCCACACCACTGGCGTACCCTTTCTGGCTCAGAGCCGTGAGACAGTGAATTAAAAAGTTTGTGCTTTGGGTTTTCCCAGATCCACTTTCACCTGATATAACAATGCACTGATTCACATGTTTTTTAAGCATTGTGTGATAGGCCACATCGGCAATGGCAAAAATATGAGGCTCCAACTTCCCCAGCTGATGATTCTCGTACATCTTGACATATTTGGGATTGTAGATGGGCAGGAACTTGAAGGGGTTAATTGCAATCAGGATACTTCCTGCATAAGTGTAAATTCGGTGCTTTAAGAAGCGGCATTTGAGATTCTCCAGGAGTGTTGTCTCTGTCAGGTTGGGGAGATTGCACAAGTCATCAAAGTCCTCCTGGTGCCACGGAAGAAAGCCCCGTTCCACCAATCTCCGAGCATCCGTCTCCTTGGAGAGCAACTGCATCTGCACATACTTGATGGTCCCATCAGTGTTCCTCTCTTGCAAGAGAAAGTAGTAGCCATCCTTCTGTGGATGCTCGTCCTGAGCACGACGAGGCCAAAGCAAAACCCTGTGAACAGGAGAATCATTTATATCAAGTACCCATTCCTCTCCTCCAGATTCTTTCACCTCCACAAGCACATAATGTTTGGAGACATCCAAGTTTAAGATGCTGATCACGTCCTTGATGACATCTGATGATGTGCTGTCCTTGGTTGCTGTCACTTTGCAGCAGGGAGCACTTTCTGTTGAGAGTTGGGGGTAAATCTGAAGGTTATAGGCTGCCTTTGCCTGGCAAACTGCACTATCAGCATCTTTTAAACTCATTCTGTCCCCAAATGGGCTTCAGTCTTCCACCCCTGCTTAGTATGGAGTGCCCATTGTCTGAAAAAAGAAAAAGGAAAAATGAAAAAATCAGGTGTTAAAAAGTGTGTACAAGAGGTATTAGGTATTTTCTGGAGGATGAGAATACAATTATTACATAATTAAATTATTAAAAAACAAATGCACTATCTGTGCACATCAGTGATATTATTCCAAGCAGCCTGTTTGACATATCCCATGGAATGGATAACTGTCACAATACTTATCCTCCTTTACTTTTCCTTTATTCCATGCCACCCCTTCTCCCCTGTTCTGGCAGCAAAAGCATTCATACAGCCAAAGCAAAATCAACCAGGATATACATCCAAATTAAAACTTCCTTGTTTGCCCAGGTTAGTTTTAACCCAGACACTTTCCCTGTCCTGGTTCACTGTATGGCTAGACGAACATTCATCCGCTCTCCCACACAAACTCTCCCTTAAAGCTGCACAAGCAACGTGATGTAGCAAGAGGGTTTGTGGTCACTTCCTAATTCAGCAGTGACAGTTCAGAGCAGCCATGACCTATGGCAGAGGGATCAGTGCATGGGTGCAAGGAGGAAGACGGTTCTGACAGAGATCCACCCTTTTTTTTTTTTTCCTCTTTTCCCCCAGATAACCTCTTTTCATGGGAGGTACAAGACATCCCACTCATCTTGAAGGAATCAGAGCCCAGAGCTGAGCAGAGCTCAGCTCCCTCCGACACATCGTAGAGATTTCTTGGACACACATCACTTACACAGACTCATTTGTGAACCACATCCTTGCTAAAGAAAGGTCTGAACCTGCCTTTTATCTTCCATTTTAGGCAACAAAGTAAAACTAGTCTTATTGCAACTACTTTTCAGCAGTAAACAAGATCTGAACCCACTTCATTCACAGGCCTTTATACCCCATCACATCAACTCCACCCTCAGTGGGTTTAGGAACCTCATCCATGAGTCTCTAAAAATCATTTGGTGTGATTGCTTTTTGCTCCTTTCAGCCTCAGTGCAGGCCAGACATCTAACTCCTATCAACTAACCGAACAACAGCCTTAGAATCAACTTCTTCCTCACTGTTAAGTTAGAAATCTCCAGACTCAGTTACCGCCTCTGCCTTTTCCGACGATTTTTCTCTCACCTGAAATTCAGTGCCTCCAGATCACCAGGACTAAGTTTACTCGTATTGCTTTAGCTCAACACTTTATTTGCTCATCCAGGGGTACTAAAAGGAGGGGGATAATAAAGTACCCCTTTGTTTTAAGTCTGTAAAGCTTCATATCCAGAATAGCAGTTCAATTTTTGTTTCAAGAACAAAGTGTTATAATTATACACTTACATGCCAAATACATTAAAGACAAAAAAAAAAAAGAAAGAGGAAAGAGGCAGAGAAATGCCAAAGAAGTTACTTTTTGCCACTAAACAACTGCACGGGAACTTGTACAAGGCCACAGAGAGTAATCATTTCAAATTAAAATCAGCAGAGCTGGAGGTATTTAAGCTGCCACTTCCACTGCAAGTAATGAATCACTTCACAGAACATATGACATAGTTGTGCCTCATGAACAGCCTCTGAGAAGGGAGTTGTGTTTAAGGGAACACAGAGCTCACAGAAGACACTATTAGATAAGCTGGATCATTTTTAGTGGCTACTCATCAAAAGGAAGGCTGAGCAAGCCACAGAAGGTAAGGCAAACCACAACAAATCTCTGACCAAATGGTGTGATCCACCCAAGAATGTTTTTTCCACATTAAATTTCATTCTTTTTTCATTAAGGAGGGCTAATTTCAAGTGCTGGTCATACAGAAGGCTGGAGCAGTGAGCTCCAAGTCCCTTCCTCATTTCCTGTAATTATCACTGACCAGTAAATAAGTCTGAAGTATCTGTGAAGTGCAAGTGTTAAGCTTTCTTAATCTATAAAAGCTCAGACCTTGACATACAGTAGAATCTACAGCAAACTGCTGCTCATGGGGAAGATCAATCTGGAGCTCAGATAGAAAAGTAGAACAACAGCGAACATTTTCCTCTCGAGTCACTCAGTTCAAGGGGGACAGCCTTTTGCAGACTTCCTTTTTCCACCCCCCAGCAATTAGTTTCAGACATACAGTCTGGTAAGATAGAGGAAGTGCCCTCAGTAACCATTATGGCCCAAACAGCTCCCTAAAAAACGTGGCAGCAGCTTCTTGCCACCACAGAAGAGCTGGACCTTGGTGCTGACCCGTGACTTTACTAACACACATTTCCTAACCTTGCCTCATGTCAGCCACCAGAATGTGGTACGTTGCTCAAGATCCCAGCTCATACTTTGGAAAGAGGAAACCAGAATGCAGATGCCACTGCTCTGCAAGTGACAAACTCAGGGCCCTTACAGCCAGCAGCAGTGTGACAGCTGGGAGGGTCTGCCCAGGTGTGTACAACTGGAAAATTCAATTCTTCTGTCTGAGAATGTCTAATCATTACAGAGGTTTGAGGAAAACCTGCTGGTCTGCAGCTACTTGTGATTTCCTTAGTGAGAATATCAAATTTATTTGATGACAATACTGCTCTAAAAGAGACAGACCTCGGGCTTCACACTAAACAATATTTCAAGCCACAAACTAGAGTATAAAAGCAGAAGAGCATTCAGTGAATAGATTTTAAGTTGATTACCTAATGAGTTCCAGTATTCAGCTAAGGACAGGGTATCTTCAAGTAACTGGAGGATTAGTTCCTTGTGAAGTTACATTCCTGGCATCAAAGTAAACACTTTCATGATGGTTCTAAAAGAAAGAAAAGAGTTACTGATAAAGAGATATTGAGAAGGCAGCAAGTAATCAAGAAGTTAAATCAATTATATAGGTCAGTCGTACAGGAGCAAGCAAATAAACGCTAAACAAATTTCAACTCAGTTTACAGATACATAACAACAAATTTATCCAAGAAAAAATCCATACGAGAGGGATAGAAGTTATCCTGAAATAGGCCTGAAAACCATAGCAAGCAATTATTCAAACAGTGTTCTAAGGTAACACCACAAGTATGACAGGGAATATGATTCCCAGATAACCATAAATTAATATTTTGTTAGGCAGCCATTCTACCCTTTTACTCAGAAGATATGTGACCAATACAGCATCTAGGATAAATCCAAAATTCAATTAAAAGCTGAGATAAGAGCAGAAACAACAACAGAAAAACCTGTTAGAAAATGCCCCCCTTAGAGCCAAATACTCTCCAAGCCTTGTCTGTAAGGAGCGCACAGAGGAGTCTGTTATCAGAGTCAGTCACTGCATGGGACCTGGAGTTTGGTACAAGCATCAGTCTGGAGGACAAAGCCACAACTGGAATTTGAAGCCAAACAAACTCAGGCAAACATAAGACATAAACGTCACCAGAAGGTTAAACTGCACTGCAAAAACTTAACTGTCCACAAGGTCTAGTTGCCAAAACTCATTTTGGAAAAATCAGCCAGTCCTCAGTTACAAATGGGCCTCACAATCAGAAAAGTTAATTAGGTACCATCCCCTCATTTATGTCCAGAATGGTCTGAAGATACGATTGCAAAGATTCCTTCTAATTTTATGGGGAGAAATTTTAAGCAATTCAATGTGATTGGCTCATCAAGGAAGCACAAGCGCAGGCAGAGAATACTGGGAGAAAAGCAGAAATACAAGAGAGAAGGTAATACTGAAACCATGCAAACCCTGCAGCCCAACCACCTCTGCTTGGTTCTGTCTGTAGATGGAAATTCTGCAGTTACCTCAACTTCTTTCAATACTCTTTCTTACAAGAAACCCCTTTCCAACGCATGGAGGATAAAAATCTGTAGCTTTACTTTTTGCTCAGACAATTTTAATAGAAAAACCAAAAATTCCAATTCTATATGATAATTTTGATGGTATTTTATAAGGGTTTTCAAGAGTCCAATTAATTTTTTAATAAGCCAACACTGTTCACTTCATAACATAGCAGAACTCTAGCAGAGAATTTCACCCCTATCAGCGCAGGGGATCTGTTTAGTTTAAATAAGGCCATATTTTGAAGACACATATTTAGTCAGTGAATCACAGCAAAGCTAAAAAGGGAAAGCTACCATTACAGCAAAATTGTTGAGGATGAACTTTATAATATTCCAGTTCTTCCCATTTTCAGTGCTGCATTCCTCAAATGGAAAGGTTCAAGCTTCTCCCATTGTTCACCACGTAATTTTCAACGCAGAAGGAGAAATGGATCACAGGTACTTGACCTCTGATATTCTTAAACACCAGAATTGCCAATGACCATCCCCAAAAGAGGCTGCTCTGTCTGATCAAATTGAAAACATTTAGCAATTTCAAAAATATCCATTTATTACCCATCCTTGATTTCCAAAGCAAGGAATTTCCAGCAAAACAGGCTGCAGAGACACCTTAAAATTTCCACAAATAACTATGCAGTGCAGGTAAAGCAAAGACTCTTGTCCTACCTCATGTCATAGGGACAGAAGGTGCTGTTAGTTAAGCAGAATTAATTTTAATTTTTCCCAATATTCCAGGCATTTGTAGATTACCTGAATATTGCTTAGTAAAAACACTTCAAGGCTTTCCTTAGTTACAAAAAATTCCAGTGGACTAAATTTTACACCCTTGGGTTTTTTTTAACTGAAAGCCCTTGGCTTTTTCTACTCCAAAGGGAGGAGTTCTGAATGGAACATGCAAAATTACAACACATTTGTAACTACTCTTTGTAATCAATCCTGGCAGGGAACTTACTGCCCCAGAGTGCCTGGCAAAGGAGAAGCTGGGCTGCAATGTATAACACAGGAAAAAGGCAAAGAAATCACCTTTGGTACAGGCAGTTCCTCCTCAGTTACCTGCTCCCTGCAGAGAGATCCCAACTCACACCCTCAAACCCCCCCAGGTACAGAGACCTTCCTCCGAGTGACTCAATGCACCACCTCACCTGAAGACAAGGATGCCTTATCAGGCTTTACAGTGACATTAAAGGTCTATTTATGACATGTTACTACCTTATAAAAAGTGCAATGTCAGAGTTACAGATGTACACGTAAGTATGATTCAGAGGGAATGAAAACATGGGCCTGTTGGAGAAACAGGAATGAAGGCAAAACAACTTTACTTAGAGGTAAAGAACATAAACCAAAAGAATCTTGGAGACTATTCTACCACCTTTTGTAGCTTTCTTAATTTTATCCTTAACAGCATTACAGCTGTCAACAAAGGAAGTCAAAATTTCACTGTTCTAATGCTGCATTTACACCGATGAGAAACTTTTTAAAGAAACTTTGGGTTGAACTTTCATGTGAACAGAACATATACATGTCAAAAATACCTTTAAAAACACTTTTATTGCAAAATATCCTTGGTCTTTAAAGGAAGAGCAGATTTTTTAGAGTCTGCATTGAGTTTCATTTGGTAATCAGAGACACACAATACAATAAAGCCTCAATAAAAGGAACTCCACAAGCCACGCTTAAGTCACTTGATACACCAAGAAAACACAATATACTAGAGACAAAACCTCTGAATTTCCATTTTCTGAAATAAAGACATTTCTAGGCCTTTCTATTAAAAATATAAATTCTTATCAGCATCTCAGGCTTTATTTCTCCTTGGTATTTGCATAAACAGGCCTTGTTTCTTAGAAATGTGATAAACTCCTTCAGCCTTCAAACTTGCAAAAAAAAAAAAAGTTCTGAACCACAACCTTTTTGTTGAATCAGAATTTTTCACTCCTTCCCTTGGCTGTTGGGACAGCCAATACTGTTGCATTTCTTAGGAATTTTTCCTTTTTTAATGCCTAGGATATGCAAATGCTGCCTTTTGACCTTCTAGCTGGCAAAGGCCATACTGAACTATGTGCATGTGAGTCAAACAGTTATTCAGACATGGAATTATTCAAGAAGTCTAATGTTTGAATCACTAGCGGTCAGAAAACTCTGCCTGTACAAAGCATTGCTCTCTAGGTGAAGCTCATTTAAATTTTTCATCAGCTGCATTTACTCTTCCTCAATTATTCAGTCCTGTAAGTGTTTTCCACCGAAAACCCAGACCTGGGAGTCTTCTCGCCGTGTTTGTGCAAACAGCTGCTCTGTCACTGCAGAAGCCGCAACATCCAACTTCTGGAAAAGCTTTTTGTTGAGACAAACGTTCAAGTAGGGTTAAAAAAAAAAAACAAACCCCAACCAACTAAAACTGTATAGTTCTACAAACACAGTTCTTTTACATTACTGCAGTAAATCCTGAGTCTTACGCTAATAAGACTAAAGACAGAGGAAGTGGCCTTAGATGCATCATCCTGAAAACCAAGATATCAGACTTTAAATGTAGAGGCAGACAACCTCATCATAGTTCAAAGACAAAATAATCAAGATGAATTCTTTTCTAAAAAAAGCCAAAATTCATCTTGACGATAATATGAATATGCGTTAAAAGTTCCCCAAACTGCTTCCCCTACATTAAATGGATTTGCTCCTGACAAGATTCTGAGTGAGACACTGAGGGCCTACTAAAACCTGATGGATGTGACACCAGCATCCCAAACCAGAATGCAGAGTTACCTCACACTGTTACTTTAGGTCAAGTTCTTCAGCCATGGATTCCAGCTACCAGGCCTGAAATCAAAGTTCCTAATTACCCATGACAAACTCCTATTTGCAAACAGCTTGGCAGACACTCCGATACCAATCCACCTCTAGGAGTAACGTGGGAGGATGCTGATGACATCTCTGAAAGGCTAACTGCATCTGCCGGAAGCCTGAGATCATCTCCAGCCCTTTTGCTCCACTGCCACCCATTTCCACGAAGTGAAATCAAAGAATACTGAGCTCATTTGCATCCAAAGGGCCTCTCACTTTTCACAAATGGGACTTGCAAATAAAGTTGGGTAAAAATTTTGCCAAAATATTTAAGGAGTAGTAGAAAACAAGGTTAAAAATGACACTGGGAAGTCATCTTACATTAGGATCACACACACCTATGTCAACTGTATGGTCAGGAGGGTTATGAGTCAGGGTAGTAGTGTGCTACTTTTAATCTAGAAACATGTAACAAAGGATGTTCTCAGCTTGCGAAAGCTTTACTTTCCAGAGATTGCAAAACCAAGCTTACCAAAAGGCCCGAGCACTACCGACATACACACAGCTAGAGGCATGAATCAATTGGGCAACGATGGTCACCACGATAAAGCACAACCCCAGCACGGCAGCAGCGCTGTCAAAACAGCTGCCCGAAACCAACACAAACAAAACAAAAGAGCTCTGAGAGTTTTAACGAAACATTTGAAAGATGCTGAGATATTACAGGCTGTTCATACTGAGAGTCAGAGGCGGAAAAGCAGAAGGTTGTGTGGTTGAAAGATGGGAGGAACAGGAGGTGGAAGTTAATACCGTGCCCGGCTCAGCGGCCAGGTCTGCCCCGGAGACGGGAGGCACAGTCTGGCATCAGGAACATCCCTTCCCCGGAGCACCTCCAGCTCCTCGGGCACGGCAGATGCAGAGCGGGTCCAGCAGCACCGCATGTGCCCCCTCACGGTGCAGCCCCGCACCCGGGCACGGCACCAGCCCCGACGGGATCCGCTCCGGGGGCGTCCCGGGGAATCGCTCCGGCCCCGAACTCCGGAAGGCTGCGCAGGAGACCTGCGGCTCTCCCCGGTTTGGCACCGACCCCCAGATATCCCACGAGAACAGACCCCCAGACACCCCCTCGGAACTGCCCCAAGGCACCGATCCCCGCATAGCTTCTCAGAACGGACCCTCGGACACCCCGTCGGAACCCACCCCCGCACAGCCCCTCAGAACCAACCCACAGATCCACCCGCCTGGCACCGACCCGCAGGTACCTCCTCGGAACTGCCCCACGGCACCGACCCTCGCACAGCCCCTTACAACCCCCGACACACCACCAGAACCCACTCCCGGAATCCCCTCAGAACCCAGTCCCAGGCACCCCCTCGGAACTGCCCCAAGGCACCGACCCCCGCACACCCCCCGGCCGCTCCATAGCGATCCCTGCTGCCGCCACCGCAGCGCTGAGTCGCCCGTAGTGAAGAAGGAGGAGGCAGAGGAGACCGGGAGGACGGGAGGAGGAGGCTCGCTGAGCCCGTTACCTGCGCCGGTGTCGAAGCGCGGACGCCCCAGCCCCGCCGCAGCCCCAGGCCCCGCGCGCGCCACTTCCGGGTGGGGGGGGCGCGCCCATTCAGAGCCGTGCGCGAATCGCGCACGCGCCGCCTCGCTTAAGGGCCGGGGGGGGTGGGGGTGGAATGTGTTCGTGGGGCCGCGGGTTCGACACCCGACCAGGGTTATTCCACTGCCCGAGGCTCCTGGCACAGCTGGGCAGCGGGAGCCAGGTTCTCTCTGTGTGTCTGTCTCGCCATCTGTCTGTCAGCGGCAGTGGGCGGATTCCTGTCAAAACTCAAGAACCTGTGCTGGGAGCGTCGCCGCCCGGCGCTGTGAGAGCTCCCACTGGGGGAGTGGCTGCTGCTCGATGTGTGACAGCGCTGGGGCAGCGCAGAAGCTCCCGAGCATAGTGTGCTTGGGTTCACTGAATCACAGAGTGTTTAGGGTTGGAAGGGACCTCTGCAGATCGCCCGGTCCAACCCCACCTGCCCAGGCAGGGTCACCTGGAGCAGGTGACACAGGAGCGCGTCCAGGTGGGTTTGGAATATCTCCAGAGAGGGAGACTCCACGCCCTTCCCTGGGCAGCTGTTCCAGCGCTCTGCCACCTCTATGGAAAGAAGTTCTTCCTCATGTTGAGGTGGAACTTCTTGTGGTTTATTTTATGGCCGTTGCTCCTCATCCAGTCGCTGGGCACCACTGAACAAAGTCTGGCACCATCATCTTGCCATCCACCGAGGAGATATTTATATGAATTAATGAGATCCCCTCTCAGTCTTCTGCTCTCTAAACTAACCAGGCCCAGCTCCCGCAGTCTCTCCTCATCAGAGAGATGCTCCAAACCCCTCATCACCTTCGTGGCCTCTGCTGGACCCTCTCCAGCAGCTCCTTGTCTTTCTTGTCCTGAGGAGCCCAGAACTGGGTTCCACCAGCTGACGTTGCAGAGAGCGGCCACCAAAGGCCTGAGGGGAAAAAAGGGTTTCGGGCCCAGCCAGGAACTGCCAGACCCTCATTTAACCCGGAGGGCAGCAGTCGCCGGGTGCGACCCCTCAGGCTGCGGTGGCTCGTTTCAGCCCTCCGCGCCGCCGGGGGGCGCTCTGCCGCCGCCGCCCAGGGCGGTGCTGCGCGGGCGCGTTGGTTCAAACGCGATGGCGGCTGAGGCGTCTCAGGGCTGAGGGGGAGGGACCTCCGCCCGGCCCCTTCGCTCTCCCGCTACTGCCTTGGCAGGATGTCTGCGCACAGGAGAGACCCCGGCACCGCGGCGGCGGGCGGACAAGCGCCTGTAGCTAAGCGGAAAGGTAGGCGTGTGAGGTGAGGGGGGATCCGAGCTGGCTGAGGGCGGGAGCCCGGTACGGCTGAGGGGGGAACCTCGGCTCGACTGAAGGGGTTGATCCAAGCTGGCTGAGGAGGGGGATTCGAGCCATTCGAGGGGGTTGATCCAACCCCCTTGAGGGCGAGGGATCCGAGCCGGCTGAGGGGAGAGCCCTGTACGGCTGAGGGGGGAGATCCGAGCCGGCTGAGGGGTGAGGAGCATCCGACCTGTCGGGCCCAGCTGAGCCGTCTTTGCCCCTTTTCCAGGAGGAAGAACGGTGCAGTCTCGTTACCTGCAGTACGACAAGAAGAACACCGAGAAGGTACCTGGACTACCGCTCAGCAAAGGGTAGAAATGGTGTGAGAGGCGGCTCGGACATAGGGCAGCGAGACCTGGGCAAAAAACCCGGCTCTGCTGGGGTTGTGAGGGAGCTCTGTGTGTTACCAGGTGGGAGCTTGGGGCTGCACTCAAGTGACTTGCAAGGTGCCCTGGGATTGAGGCTGTTTGTTGTCAGCATTCGAGTTGGAGATAAGGTACATTGCTGATTATGTTCTGTCTTACCTGTGTGTTCATTTGCAGGGTGCTTCAGCAAGTTCCTCTTCATTGTGTGCTGCCCCACCATCTTCTGCAGCTAAACCAAAATCAGTTCTTTCTCAGAAACATGAAACTTCTGTTGGTAGGTTTTACCGGTATTTCAAAGCTATTCTTTCTTTTTTCCAACCTCTGAAACTCTTAACAGCTCTAAGATGGTGATATTTTTTATTACTTGCATCTCTGCCAGTCATTATTTGTATAAAAATGGGAACTGAGAATCTTGATGTGGGATTAAGAGATGTGAACTCAGGTGCTGGATCTAGAATTGAATGCTTGGGCTGCCTGAAAGCATCTTTCCTGCCTTATGCAGAAGGTTTTGAACTGTTCTTCTCCTATGCCCTCACCTGTACTCTGCCTTTTTTTTTTATTTAATCTTTTTATTAAACCCAATGTAAATGCCTGAAGAATCCCTGTCTGCAAAACAGTCCATTTTTATTTCTTTTGTAAGAATTGCAAAATAATTCTCTGGTAAGGCCTTGACTTGAAAATCGTGAGGAAATCGGGACATCTGAATTGAGAAAGGTTGCTCCTGTTCAACATTCTCTAGCCAGTCTTTCTCGCCACGTGTTAGTTCCTTGGTTATTCCCAACCATTCTTGTCTGTCGTTACCCACAGTCCTTGGTTGGCTCCCAGGTGTTTGGGACATACACATTAGTGTATTATCTTCTGGGAATTGAGAGCTTGGAGGGTCTTACTTTGGGCTTTAGTCATAGCAGTTTTTCATCCTGGCTGCAATTCCATTGGTAACTTTCTTTGAAGGTTCAAGAAAAATAAGTTTCCAAGGCTTTTAAAAAGCAGGTGTTCATTAGAGAGCGCTGTTTCCTGAGAACAGTGTTTCTGATCAGCTCAAGAGGAGCTTAGTCCAGTTTGTCAAGGCTGAGCCTTAAGCAGCATTTCTCAGATCATGGTGTGGCCTGAGACGAGGGGGATTGTGACTAAAATCAGCTTCTCTGTGCCTCTACAACATGCAGTTGTGAATTTGTGCAGAACCTGTTCACATTCTTTTAGTTTGATAACAGCTTCTTTTCACAGGTGTTGGCCATAGCTTAAGTCAGAGTATCTTTGAGAATGGTGACTTGCAGTCCACCTTATTAGATGAAGAAAAAATTAAAAGACCGGACCTTGATCTCTCAGCTATTAATGGTACATTTCCATTTATACTTGATTTCTGGTTTTATTATTTTTTAATGTATGTGCTGAAACATGGTGATAAGAAATCACTGTATTCTTGTATACTCACAAAAGGATTTTGTTAAATGAAGTGAATGTTGTTTCTGGTGTCCTTAAGCAGAGCTACTAAGACTTTTAAGGTTTAAATTAACCTCTCAATTTGTAATATCTTTTGGGTGCCCTGTTGGTTTTGTTGAAGATAAAAAATTAAAGTACTCTCAAGTCTTTATTCCTGTAACAGGTGGGTGTTGGACTGTCAGCTCTTCTGAAAAGTAGATCCCATCTGTCTGTAACTGTCACTTAAAGCTAAATGCTCACATGATCCACATCTGCTCATGAGTATATCAGAGCCAGACATAGAGCACAAGTCTTCTTTACCGGTGCACATAATAATTTTGAAATTATCTCTGCCTTTAAAGAACCTGATGGTATGTTGATCCACCCTGTAGACCTTGGTAGAAGAGAGCACTGACTTTTTTGTTGTGATACAGATAAAACTGTCCACAAGAAGAGTGATTGTTCAGAATCAGCTGAAGAAGGAGATGCATGGACACAGACAGAGAAAACTGGAGCAGTGAGTCTCACTGCTTTCGTTTGTAAGGATATTTATTTCGAAATGTGCAAAATGAAGATTTTCTGTCTCTTTAATCTGGATTACAACCGAGGTCCTGGGATGATCTAAACCCTCCTGACAGAAGTCAGTTCTACTGGTGGCAATGTGTGGTTTGTTTATCAGATCTCTGAACACTGACCAGAACTTTGCTTCTCTCTGGTAAAGAATCTGTTCTAGTTATAGCATCTCCTCAGGTGGATTCTTTTTGCATTCCTATCCTGTTTAGTTCTATCACCTTATCTTTGAGATTTATCTGCTTAAAGAACTAACATTGATTCAACCTAGTTTGAAGTGCCTTATTTAGAGATCTCATTCAGTGTAGGACTAAAACTTCAAATTCTCTGCCAGTATTATGAAAACGTGCTGAAAATATTATAAAATGTTGTGGAACAAAAAGGTATATTTAATGAACATGAGTTGTTTAAAACCCCAAACTTTTCTGATCAAACTTACTGTTGTTGGTGATGATTCCAGGCACAAATCGGACTATTGGTAATTTATTTGACCACTGAAAAAATTATTGCTTAAATACCAAATTTGATGCAGTATATTCTTTTCTTTTCTGAAGGAAACTGATTCCAGTGATTCAATGACAGAGCTGGAATCTGAGACACTGCTTTTAACTTACTTAAGAATAGAGGTGAGAGTCGGTCAAATATTTGGTGTTTCAGGTAGAACCTGATATTGAGGAATTGTTTAATTTCTTAAATGCTTCCTGATCCATAAAAGTTAGATTTTTGTGACTGTATGTGATTATGGTTGTAAAAGTGTGTTATTTGCTTTGAAAACTCTTAGTGTGAGTTTAGTACCAGTTTATTATCTGGTGCTGGTTCTTAGGAATTGGGGGGATGCAGAAGTTTTGGGAAAACTGTGTGAGTCTGGCTGGAGTTCAAGGTTATAGCAGTGACTTTTTTCCCTCAGTGCTGTATGTGTGTATTTTCCTTTACAAAAAGCAGTAGGGGAAAGAGGATTGAGGGGGGCTTTAATTCTGATGTTCTGTGCTTATTACGTGATGTCTCCTATTCATTAGTTACATCTCTTTGACCTGGTTTACATCTGTTTACTCAGAATATGTTAATTGCTTAGGTGTAGCATTAACTGTGCATATTTTTGGGATGTAATAGACAGGAAAAAATCTTGCCAAGCTGGAGGAAAAAGCAGAAAAAAACTTGATGATGTTGTCTGAAGAAAAGCAGAGACAACAGGAGAAGCTCTTGGAGTTGAAACGTGAAATTCTGCTTAAAGAGAGAGAGCAGAAGCTCAGTGAAGCATTAGACAAACAGGTAGGTTTTAGTACAATTTATACTTCTCTTACATTTAAACAAACTCGTATATGAAGTAGCCCTTTATTCAGAGAATATTTCTCTGCTGGAGCTGAGATGCCAACCCTTAATGAGAAGTGAATATCTTGTGTTCTTTCTTTGTCTGGTTTGTCTGTGTTACCCAACTCTAATTTGGCTGTAAGAAGACAGGTTTCTTATGAATAATTAATGTTCAAAACTGTATTTCTCTTTGCTTTTTAACAAATATGCACTGCAAAAATTAAACAAGGCTTTTGGAGAACACTCTTGTTAAGTACAGTTAAAGTAATCGAAGCATCTGCTATAAAACCTTTTGCCTGCTGTGTTGCTGATACCTCTGAGCTACAGGACCAAAGAAACTGGTATTGACCTGGGCATTTTGAGATGGTAGAGGAAAACATGTTAAACAGCATGATGGGATTATTGTACCACAAATTTCTTGAATTCCTCTGTCAGTGAGCATTTCAGAGTGATATTTGGTTGGAGGTTTTTTAATAAATTATTTTTCTGTATTGAGCAATGTTTTTAATTACAAAGTAGCTGCTTTTGGAGAAGTCTTGGTTCATTGTGTATGTGTTTCAGATTGAAGTGCTGTCTCCTCTCGTTCCTGTCTGTGAACAGTTTCAAAAGCAATATAAAAGCTTTGCAGCTTCCCTGGATACCACTAGACATGAATTACCTATAAAGAACATTCACATAGAAGGAGATAAGCAAGCATATCTTGGTATGAAAACTTGATTTACCAAATTTACTTTCAGAAATAGTGGTTTTATGCTAAAAAAACTTCTTATATTGTTATTGCTACATGTGTCTATGGCTATTGGAGGGATTTTGAGTGCTCTTAGAGCTTATGTGAACACTGGGCTGCAGCATTAGTCACACATTGTGCTGTGTGTAATTCTTATCTCTGTTTAACCACTTCACTGCACTTGAACAGGTTTTTTATCTTGCAGCAGGGAAGAGATTAATTTTCTAAGCTGGGTCATTAATTTTCTAAGTCTTCATATACACCTTCTTTAGCGAATTTCTGTATATTTTAACTGTATTCATGACATTACTCCTCATTTCTTGTCCCTACTGTGTAAATAAGGAATACGTAGGAATAAATAAGTAAGGAAGGAAAATGTTAATGAGGAAAATGTAGGAATACTGTGATCTCTTCCTTTTTCTGTGTTTGAGGGATACACTCACCTGGGTAGACTTGCTCATGTTTCTTGTAGAACTGGAGCTTAAATATTATTGTGTTGTGTTGAATCAGAATGTTCAATAAATCGGTACATGTGTTTTGTATTGAAGTCTGGACAAAAAGTTACATTTTTAAACTACTGGTCTGCAAGAAAAAATTTACAATAATCTTGCACTTAGAAACAAATGGAAACATTTATTAAAGACCTTAGAATTCTTGTAAGAAGACTTGAAATAAATAGGTTTATGTTCCTTTTTGGTTTATGAACGCTGAAGGAAATGACTGGATAAATTTCTTGGGGGGCTACATGCCAAGAGCAATACATGTAACTGGCCAGGGAATTTTGGATGTTTAAAACTTGTTTTTTCTCTCGCATTTGTCTTATAAAAATCTTTTGCATACTCTAAAATTGCTAATCAACCTCTCATTCAATAGCCCGTTGCTAGTGCTTGTCACAATAATGAAAAATAATTTGGCTTTCACAGTTTCACAGTGTATTTGTGAAAGCTGAACAAACAGTAGTTTTTCATTATCTAGTTCACTTGCCGTTACTCCAGCTGCTGATATCCTGTATTAATTGGTGGCACTGCATTTTTAATAATACCTTTAACATCTCACTTGTAGGTGAACTGGGAAAGCAATTAAAGATCACACGGGAGCTTCTGACAGAAATTATGCCAAGCCACTCAGAAGACTGTGCAAAAGCACTTACTGCACTGAAAGAGCTTAAAGAAGTGTCTCAGAAACTGGATGAAGAGCTTCAAAGGTAATTACAAAAGTTGGGTGGAAGACTTGTTGACTAAATATTCCAAGGAAAATCTATCAACCTTGCCAGAATATATCCAGAACATAGAATGGAGGAGGATTAACTGAGGGTTTGGTAGCAGTAAGTTTAATTCTCTTTATAGCAGCCCATCTGCATTTCTGTCCCTGCCCTACCTACAGTCAAAGTAGGATGGTTGGCTTTGTTTTTGTTTGTGCGTGCCAAGTGAACTACTTTAGTGTGCTATTCTCTGCCGCTTTAGGTGAGAATTTCAGTGAGCAAGAACAGACCTGGTAAGTGCAAATATGTAGGAGTGGAGAACTCTGGGAGACAGAGAAGTGAACTGGAAACAATGTCTTAAATAACAACCCTGCAAATGTATCATCCTTTAGGAGCATAGAATAGTTTTTTTTTTTCCTCAAGTATTGTATCAACAAATACAAAGTACCACTGGGAAAGTGAAGAAGAGCTAAAGCATGACATGTTCAAGAATATTTCATTCATTGCCCCGGAAGAGATTACAACTCAAGTCATTGAAGCTACTCGTCTCCCCCACCTGCCAACTGCCCCTGTATTCTCCAGATTCTTGTCTTAGGGAAGAAAATTCACATTTTACTTTTTTTTTTATTCTGGTGGGGCCACAGTAGGAGAAGGACACCAATGTCCAGGTGTGTAGTCTTTGGGCTAAAGCAGAAGTCACTGTCCTTTGGAGTCACTGATTCAGTTTCATGTGTTCCAGGAGCTTCAGAGAAGTGCAGAACCTGTCGTTTGAAGTCAGTAAAGAAGTTTCTCTGCATAACCAAAGTGCATGTGAAGAGAAGCACGGGCTAGATGTTGTGAAACGCTGGTATTTCAACTAAGTTTCTGTATAGTTTTACTGCTGGGTAGGTACTAACTCAGTGCCATTGGACATGCTATCCTTTTGCTTCTTGTATGAACATACAACTTGCCCAGTTTTTCAGTTATATGAGGATGTGAAACCAGCAGCACTGATACAGAAAATGGAGTGTTGTTCTGCCTGCTGTCCCATCAGGACACATCACAGCTCTCTTTTAACATGAATTTCTGTGACAGCTGTTTCATCACTTTCTGCCTTGACGATACTGAAAAGTAAATAATAAGAAATAATAAGTAAATAATATTCCTGGTGTTGCCTAAAGGACTGCGGAGAAAAAGACTCCAGGCCAATTTATTGTATAAGATAAGATAAAGAGAGCAGGTCCTTTAACCTCAGGCCTAAGGCCCAGGGAATACATACCTCGCACGCCCCCTCAGGCAGTCGTTCTATGATTTTATAATAAGGTCCATCCAATCCCGGTTCTGTCCAACCCTGGTTCTGCCCCATTCTGCCCCTGACACACCCGTTTGGGAATTGGGTCTGGGGGTGTTTGGGACCCCTTCTTCCTCATCTTCATCTTCTTCAAAGCACATAGAGTCCTTGGAGTTCCTCCAAGGTTCTGGGCTTGAAGGTCGCTGTGTCCATGTGATATCTTCTGGTCCAGGCCTTAGGGTGTTTTTCTACAATTCTACCTTGAAAAGACGACTAAACATGCTAATGAAATTTTAGAGGGATTGATATGAAATGGGATAGTAGGGTTGGGTATGTGTAAACATTATGCTACAGAGTAAGGGATATCATCATGGCCAGTCTTCGCGAATGAAGATTTGGGAAAGGTCTTTACCCTTCGAGCCTGTGTAGTGGATTTTTTAGGTGAGACACCGTGTGTGCTGAACTGAGCCCACCCTTTAATCCTAAGGTTCGTCTGCTGGGGCCAAGCGAGCTCGGACGGTGGCAGCGAGGTCCTCAGGACGTAGGTTTGTTTAGAGTGACCTTCTCTTAGATGGATGGCCTTACAGGGCTGATGAGCTCCATCTGCCCGGGGGAGTCCCCTGACCGGGAATCGAACCTGGGCTGCGGCAGTGAGAGCGCTGCATCCTAACCACTAGACCACCAAGGGGCCCCCGTAGGGATATAATACAGCTACATTAAAATCTATGTTCACTACACATCTACTTCTAAAATCTATAAAAGTTTAAAAATCAGAAAAAAAAAGCTCTGAGGCATCAGTCCCCCCTTTAGAGATGGATAAAACTCAATCTTGTCCAATCTCTACCACTTATACCTATCATTATACCAGAGAGATGGCCAACATCTACAACATCGGTTCATGCAATGAGCTATTATACAAACACTAATTATGCATATCACTAATCTAAACAGTTGTTTTATCTAGGTCCAATTCGGTAACCATGAAGTAAGTTTGTGGAGAATGTCTCCAAAACCCAGTGAGACATCCTCAGGAATTGCCCAATGTAGAATTTAAACTTGTTGTCAAATTTCAGCTGAATCCATAGTGCAAATCCAGCACTCACTTTCATGAAGGATATTGGATCCATTTTTGCTAAAGCCACATGTAAATTTTGGTTCTAAACCTGAGTCATAGTTACCAACTGTACAGATAACATATACAGAAGAAACAGTCTAGGCCACATGCTCTTCATCGGTGTCAGGCTCTGGTTTGCTAGTAGTTCCAGGAACTGAAGCTTTCTTAACTCTGGAGTAATGAAACCAGGGTCCTTTGCCAGCAACTTGGACTGCAGCGAGGGAAGTCAGCAGGACTCGGAATGGTCCTCTCCACTTGGCTTGCAGTGGGTCACTGTCCCAGCATTTAACGTAGACCCAGTTTCCAGGCTGGAATTGATGGGCAGGGGTGTCCAATCCTATGGGTCTGGATAACTTAATGAATCTCTGCACTTTCTGTAAAGTAGCACCTAGAACCATTAAATACTTTTGTAGACCAACTTTCCCCCTCATGTAAATGTCCCCTGGAATATGTGGAGCTTGGTATGGTCTCCCATATAATATTTCATAAGGACTTATGTTGTTTCTCCGCTGTGGTTGTATGCGAATTCTCAACAGAGCTAGAGGTAAAGCCTGAACCCATGACATGGATGTTTCCTGACAAATTTTACCAATTTGCATTTTAAGAGTACCATTCATACGTTCTACTTCGCCGCTTGCCTGAGGTCTGTAGGGAGTATGCAGGTCCCAGGCAATTCCCAGGACGCGACAAACCTCCTTCACTACTGTTGCAATAAAACGTGTCCCTCTATCTGATGACATTCCTAGAGGAACCCCAAACCTTGGAATTATATGGTTGAGCAAAACTTTTACCACTTCCCTTGCTGTGTTAGTGTGACAGGGGTAAGCTTCAGGCCATCGTGTCAACCAGTACTAGTATGTACTTGTATCCCTCCCTGGGTGGTAACTCAGCAAAATCTATTTACCAATAATCTCCGGGAAGGTCCCTGGCCTTTGTTACCCCTGGCACCGCTCTCTTGCTTGTATCAGGATTATTTTGCCTGCAGATTTCACATTTACTTACAATGGATTGCACGACTTTGGTCATACCTGTCCCTATTACTGCCTTCTTCAAATGTTTTAGAAGGCTTTCTGTTCCCCAATGGGTAGCCTCCTGTTCCCGCAGAGCTATCTCCCTAAGGAGTTGGGGTGTGATTACAACGTGTCCTGTAGGTGTAACAGCCTGTCCACTTTCTTTCATTTCAGCGTTAAGGGTCTTAATTAACTGGTGGTCTTTCTCATCATATTTTGGGGTGAACCCTGTCAGATCGATTTCCTTCTGTGGTATTACTGCTAGGATACCTTTTTCTGCAGCCCCATTTGCCGCCTGGTTGGCAAAATGATTTCCTAATTCGGGAGTTGTTTTCCCCTTCTGATGAGCTCTGCAATGCGTGATAGACACTTCCTCAGGCTTCCACATACTCTGTAGGAGTGCATGGATTTGGTCTGCATGTTTGATCCCACTGCCTTGGGCCATTAGTAGCTCTCTCTCTTTCCAGATGGCTCCATGGGCACGTACAACACTGAATGCATATTTAGAATCAGTCCATGTATTTACCTTCTTTCCTTCGCTCAGTTCGAGAGCTCTTGTCAATGCAATCAGTTCCGCCTTTTGGGGTGATACATCCGCTGGCAAGGTCTTTGCCCCGACTACTTCGTCCTTGGTTGTCACTGCATGCCCTGTCATTTGCTTTCCATCCCTCATGAAACTGCTTCCGTCTGTGTACAGTTCCCAGTTTGGGTTTTCCAGAGGCGTGTACTTCAGGTCTGGTCTGCTGGAAAAGGCCTCCTCAATGGTCTGCAAACAGTCATGCTCAGGCACACTGTCAGTCAATGTTGAGGACAGAAACATAGGAGGATTTACAATAGATGTTGTTTTCAGGGTAACATCATCCTGTTCCAACAACTCAGCTTGGTATGTAAGCATTCTGCTGGGGGACAGCCAGTGGACCCCCTTTTCCTCAAGCACAGCTTGGACTGCATGGGGTACATACATGACCATGTGCTGCCCAAGGGTGAGTTTTTGGGCCTCCTGGATCAGGATAACAGTTGCTGCTACAGCTCTCAAACACCCCAGCCACCCTTGGCTAACACTGTCTCGCTGTTTGGAGAAGTAAGCCATAGCCCTTTGCTGGTTTCTCAGGGTCTGTGACAGTACCCCCAGAGCAACATTCAGTTGCTCATATGTGAACAGTTCAAAAGGCTTAGTTAGGTCTGGTAGTCCCAATGCTCTTTAAGGACTTTAATTCTTTTTAATAATAAAGAATATTTTCCACTGCTGTATCATGCTTGAATATCTTCACTGATTTCCTACAGAAGCTTTTGTTTCCAGCTGGGCTGATACTACAGAGTCCAGCAATGGACTTGTACACACTGAGTGGTCCCAGTGGTGAGCCATGAGCACCTGAAGTGCTCAGGCCAAAGGATTGGGAATGTGGAGGGAAACCACAAGCCTAATGACTGAGAAAGTGCTGGAGAGCAGGTGTGCTGGGCTATGAACATACATGCCAGATCTGGCATGCTTTCCTTTTTTGTACTTGGAATGCATTTTTCTCTGGAAGACATGCTGTATCTTGTTTTTTATAAGCTATGGAACGTCTTTCTGTGATGGTTTTTCAAAGCCTTTGCTTTGTGTTGTGTTCAGAGGGGTATGTTTCTGGCTTAACCTGTGCCTATAAGGCCTTTTAGCCTCAAAAAAATTCTTGGAGCATTCTCCTTGCACTCCTTCAAGTGCTGTTCAGGCTTTCTACCTGTGTCACTAACGGTCTAACTAGATTCTTGTCCCCTTTTATTAAAAATTAGGAGTAAATTAAGTAACTGGATCAGTAGAATGCTGTGCACTGGATGAGAAGCCAGTGTATAACAACTGTTCAGACCCAACTTGTATGTAATGGCAGTGTCATTTTTTTAGCTGCAACTTACCCATAAGCCAGTTTTATTGTAGGAACATATTAGATGATCTGCACCTAGTAGTTCACCTTTGTGTGCTACCATTCAGCACAAAAATAAAATAAAAGTGAGTTGTAAGTGTTGCAGGTAGATGGATCATGCTCTGGGTCAGGAGCATGAGCTGCATCCATGAATTTGGCCACTGGGTGGGGAACTTTGCCCAGCAATCATAGCTTAGCTGCAAATAAGTAGGGTAGTTAGTTTTGGTGGATAGAGATGTGGGTAGAAAGGCTCCAATGTGATGAAAGTGTTTTTTCCTAGGGTTGGATTATTGCTTAGGCTGTGCGTCCTCACACCTTTAACCTTCTTATGATCAGTGTGTCATTCTGAGACTCTGAAAGTCATGAAGTGATGTCTTAAACATGAAGGAGATGAAATTAAAATCAATACTGTAATGTCTTGATAATAATGTCTCTGAACAGACATACCGAAATGTCTTTCCTAGGATTTCTTGATTGTACACCTCATTGCTGTTCTAAAAATATATTTTTCTTTAAGAAATACTTTTAAATTAAACCCATCCTCTTCAGTCAAATGATTTTCTACCACTGATATACTATTGTGTGTGTATCTATACACCCAAATGTTACTTGAGCAACAGCCAGCCACGCAAATTTTCCCTCTAAAAAGGAGTGGAATGCTGTTAGTTCTCCCCCAGAGGCAGTGCTTGCTGTGACCACAATTAAAGGCTCTAAATCCTCGGGGCAGTAGTTCATCTCTGCTGCTGCAGGTGGCAGTCGTTATCCTCACACAATTCCAGGGAAAAGGGGAGTCCTGGAGCTGGAGCCAAACTACTTGTCCAGAACAATGCCGTGCCCGGGGATGTGCGCTCATTGTTTCAGAACAACCAGAGGCATTAATTTGAGCATTCTGGCCGTTCTTTGCCTTAAATTGAACACTTGTGTAATTCTTCATACAAATGGTAGAACAAGTGTCAGCCAAAGCAGCTCAGCCTCTCCAGGAAAGGCTTTGAAACTAGTTTGGACTGAGACTTTTCCTTCTTGATTTTTTCTGAATATTCTAAGTGGTTCTGCTTTGGCTCTTTGCAGAAGGGTTTTAGGTTCCTCCACCTTGAAACAGCTACAGAATTGGATGCTGTCATTTAACACTGTACAAACAACAACAAAGAGCTGCAGAATCACTGGAGCAGGAGCTAAACAGATGTGACACCACTTATTTTGTATTTTCCACTTATTTTTTGACAATGTTACATGCTCTAAATCGGTTGGAATCCTAAACAAATTAAGGGCTCTTTTTTATTCAGGTTATCAATCTTTTTCTTTTCCCTCCCCCAGAATTAATAATGTTCTCCCTTCTGTAGCTTGTACCAATGAAGACTTAGTTTTGTTTTGTCTGAACTTGTGCAGTATTTGCTGCCTATTTATTCATCTTTTAGGCAGAAGTTCTTCTTAACCAATTATTAACATTCATGTGTTCTAAAGTGCTTTTGTGGGGGGGAGAAAGGGATCTTAAGATTGTCTAAAAAGAGATTTGCAGCTCTTTTAAGCAGGATTTGCAGTTGCAGATTGCCCTGCCTGGATCCTGGTAGAGCTCTGACCACATTCTCCTGAGTTCCTGGCTGATGTTGCCAGACTCTTTCATTGAGTTCTATGATTTAGATCTTCATTTCTCTGTGTTCTTACTGGACTAAAAAATATTTAAGGGTTATGAGCAGGCTTGAACCAAAAGCCATGACTTTCCATTCTCCAGCTCTGCATTAAATCTCTTAATTTCATGATCTCCAGAACTCCACTGTCAAAGGTACATCACCTTAACTGCTGCATCTCCTGACTTTTATTTTATTTACCACTCCATCTGCAGTTAACATGGTGGGTCCTCAGGGGAAGCCTGATGGACCAGGAGTATAGAGAAGGGCAGGCTCCTGTGCTAAAGGCAATGGAGTTTTCAGTGCAGCTGAGGGATCCAAAGTACCACAGGTTCTCATTTCTGTTTGCTCAGCAGAAAGCTACTGACTAGAAAAACAACTATTTTAACTTGCAGCACATCACATGGGCAGTGATTTCAGAGGAGATGGGACACCAGCTCGGGAGGGCTGAGTCAAGGCATTTTTTGGCTGTAATTCCTGTTCTCTAGGGTCAAGATAAGGCAGGATCCCTCCTGCCTGGGGTGCCCTGGGAGATCCTCGGGGTTCCTGTTCCCCTCCCCCCAGCTCGTTTTTCACACTGCTGCAGAGGGTGCTGGTTCTGTGCTCATCAACAGCACATAAGCAGCTCATGACCCCAGCAGATGTTTCTGCATTTTAGGCTAATGAGAACTTATTGGATTACTGCAGTCTTCCCTGCCTCAGAGTAAATACCACTTTGTTGGAGATCCGGAAATTCATCCTGAATATGATAAACAAACTGCTGACTGGGCTGGGACTGCCAGGACATGAAAAGAGTTCCAGAGCGGCAGAAGATCTAATAGCTCTGAAATGCACCACTGAGCCACACCAATTAATAGCATTTCCAGTGATTAAGTGAACGGTTCCTGCTCAACTCAGGAATGGTTTTGGGTTGTTTCTTCCACTGCATTTGTGTGTGGCCTGCAAAGCAAGCACAAGGTTTGCAGAGGAGTCTCAGCTGCCTCTTATTTTAAAATAATTCTGTGATAATGTGTATGCAAGACCTATTGAGTTTCTTGCTTAAATCTTGAATTTTCTGTATTAGGGAAGCAAACACAACTTGCCTCTTCAGACTTTTCTAATCTTTTTATTTATATAGATAATGTGTATTTGGAGGTGGCCTGTAGGATATCAGAACTTAATTCCACATTTTAGTATCTATTGCATGTGGGAAGTGACTTCACTGTTAATCGGACTATGCACAAACTGTGCCAGTCATATGTTGGGGCTGAGAAGAAAACTGTGAAACTACTTCAAAGGAAACTGGGAAATTATTTCTGACTAAATGTCTCAATGACAGCCACTTCTGATAAGCACAGTGCTCTTCCTTCTAGATGAGTGTCTGCCCCTTTGAATGCTTTCTTAGTACTATTTCCGTCACTTTGTCAGGAATTAAAATGTTTTATTACTGTGAAAGATCAGGCTTTCCTATTCTACAGATGAATAATAACAATTTTTGACAGAGCTATTTAATAATTATGTTCTCAATATCATTATCCTGTTATATGCTACTCAGATTACACTCTAATTTAAAATGTGCTCTTTAATTATCCTTTCCTTATAATTTTGTTCTAGAGATGCCTGTTTTCCTGGAAGGAGGATCAGTCTGGTTTCCACCACTGTGGACTGATGCATTCTCTATTAAGCCTTTACCCTGGGGAGCTTCCAAGAGTGTGGCAAAGCCTGGGACATTTGTTTTGCAGTTATCGGTTTCTGTATTTGCTATCTCTGTTTGGCTGTCCCAGAAACACAAAGGGAGAACTAAACTTGGAGTTAAAGAATGAGTGTGGCTTTTTTACCATGAATATAATACTATAAAAATTAATTAAGGCTTTATTCTTGTCTGGTGCTATGTAATGACTGAGACAAACGATTTTCCATTGGGGAGTGGGGACAAATGATTCTGGAAACTGAGGACTTGTTCTTTATTTCTCGCCCACCTTCTACTGAAATCTAGTGCTTACAGGACTTGACACAAAGCTGAATAAGTAATAGCCTTGGGTTTAGTACAGTATCTTTTCTGTGCACGATTTACATATATACTCTCAAAATCTTTAAATAAGTGAGTATTACCTTTTATAGATCTGATCTGATCATCTATGTGACAGGTTGGTGACAGCAGTTATGCTGAGGCAATGAACAAGGGCTAATTATTAATGGGGTGGTCCTACCACTTGATTCTTTGGAGTAATCTCACTGATTTGAATTTTGCAGTTGGAGGGGGGATCCAAAAGGATTCACAGCACTCAAAAATTAACATTTTTTGTTTGACAAATATCTGTCTGATAATTTTCACATTGCATAGTTTATTTATGAGGTAGATGGGACATCGGGGCGATAATTTCTTCTGTAGAGAAGTGACAAGATTGTACAAGGGGTCAGGATGTAAATTAGATCTAGTCAGAACCCATATAGGTGTATTCGCACCTTCTTCTCTTAACTGCTGTCCCTCCCTCACCTTTCTGACACCAGTATGGCCCCACATGTTTTCAAGTGCCTGAGATTCCTCAAACTTCATGAGGAGCAGAATTACGCATTCAGTAAACGAGTAAAAATCCTAGCTATGCACAGTGGGTGAATATGACCCATGGATCTGACTGATGAATAGTTTTTTTATACATGAGCAGTTCTTACAGCTTTTAAACTCCTTAACCATTCCCAGATGTGGGTTGCAGGCGGCTGCTGGAATTCCAACACCTGTTGCATCACACTGAATGGGATTCATTTTGGCAAGCACAGAAAATTCCATTTCAGTAAGTAAATAGTTTGAAATTATATCTAAAGCCTCCTTTTATTTTCAGACGAAGCTGATTCCAGCCTTATTTACAGGATTGCACATACTTTCATAATTAGAAGATGGTTTGCTTTAGAGGTTGTAATTGCCTGAGATTTCTTGTACTCAGTAAATGTCAAACAGAAATTCTTCAGTTTAGAAGAAATCTCACCTTTAAAAAAGTTAGTTATTCCAAAGGGCTCTATTCCACATAAGGGGAATTTCTAGCTGTGCTTTTTGAAATGTAGAAATACACATTTGTGTATTATTCTGAAGATGATGGAGCTCCATTTTAGAGCTACACTTTGCTCCATTTATCAATTCATTGCTGAATCCTGTTGCTTCTTTCGAGTCCTTACCCAGAGCTTTCTCAAAGATGAAATGTGGGTGACAGGATGGGTGTTCAGTGGCACTTGGTGATTTTTTTGGTACATATCCTGCAGATCTCAAGTATGAGTCTGTAATGAACCATTTGTGGTTTGCTCTAGAAAAGTATGTGTAGAGATAATTATTTTTTCGAAAGCATGATGATGCTTCAGCCCAAACATACCTGATCTCTGCAGGGCTTCTATCAAAGTCAGTAGTTTGGTTGGTGAGATATTGTACTTTAGTTTGAGGCTGCCATACCATGAGAACAGCAGAGGTGCTTCATTTTCATTTTTTGCCTCCTTTAATATGATGAATATGATGAAGCTGAAAAAGAATTTGGAATTAGCAGGTTTTGCTTTTTCTTTAGTTTGTCTCAAAAACCCCGAACAAACAAACAAACAAAAAACCAAACCCAAAACGTTCCCCCTTTAATGTACTTTCTAATAAGTTCCTTCTCACAGTGCATGGTTTCCTTGGGAAGTGATCCCTGTGGTTCTAGAGTCTAGTCTTGTCTAATTTGTCAAAATGTGTTCATTCTTCTTCTAGATTTGTTCTGCCTCTCCACAAAAATAAGGCAGGGCTGGTTTAGGTTAGATTTAAGTAGGAAAATGTAACCATGTCTAGCAGTGTTATCCACTATTGAAGATAATCTGAATTTATCAAAAACCTACTGAGTTAATGATTTTATTTTAAAGAGAAGACATATTAAAGTAAGTTTCAAATAAGATAAAAATTTAGGCACCATTTATTTATCTCCTGGTTAAGGACCGATCAGCCTCTGAGTCCTGTTGCTGGAATTGTCGGGGAATCCTTGTTCCTTTTGATGACTATGTGCTTTTAGGGAATGGATTGCCTTGCAGAAAATGTGGTAGCTAGGAATGACAGTGCTGAAATATATGGTAGCTGAAATTATTTCAAGATGGAGAAAAATAACAGCAGCTTTAGCAACTTGCTCTTTTTCTTGTCAGAAGCCAGAAGGAAGGGACTTTGGGAAACTCTTGAGCTGACTTGGATACAAATGTGTATTTTTGCTAAATAAAATGCTGGGGTCCATACCTGTTATTTTGAGAAGAAATGAAACTGAGGGTCAAATATTGGAGCCAACCTAGAATAAAAGGTTGTAATTTTTTTCTGTTTTCCTGGTACTTTACCTTAAGCCAGGTGTGTAGTATTTGGGGGAAACATGTTGGGGGAAACAAACTGCCTATATTGAGGGGTTTCATTTATTTCTGGGGCAAGAATTCCGCTCTGTTGGAGCATTTAATCCGTCACTGTTGTGACATTTTTCATCTCGAATCTCTGCTCTTGCTTTGGATTTGCTTTCCCCCGGTTTGTGTGAGCTCTACTCTTAAGCTGCACCTCTTCAGACTGGTGCAGGGAGAGCTCCCTCTCCTGTCCCGAGCCCCTGGAAGCGCTGGCTGGGACAGAGGGATGGAGATGGATAGACTCGGGCCTAGGGATGGAGGAGGATAAAAAAATCCGGTAAAAAAACAGAGTAGCGTCAGTGCTGGCACTGGATTTTGGGTTGGGAAGCAGTTCTTTGGCAGCGCTCAGTGGAGTCCCTCGGCGTGCAGAGGCTCAGTTACCGGGAACACACCGTGCTGGGAGTGCCGGATCGTTGGATCTTTGGTAACCTCGGCTTTCGCGTCTGTGGCACCTCAGGGACTCGGGAGGAAGGCGGAGGAGCCCGGGCGGGTCTCCGGGGGCACTTTGGGCTGGGGAGTAGAGGCGCCGATGCCGCAGCAGCCCCGGGGACAGGCGGGGACACCCGGCCCGACTGCGCTGTCAGCGCTGCCGGAGGTGCGGAGCCGGGCGGGAGCACACCTGGGGCCGTGCGGGGCGGGCCCCGCTGTCAGGAGCGGGCGGGGGAACGGCAGACAAAGAGCAAAAGAGCCGGGGCCGAGCGGGCACCGGGGCCAGGAGGGGGCGGCCCGGGGGCGGGGACGCGGCGGGGGCGGCGGCCAGAGGCACCGGGGAGCCGAGCCGAGCCGAGCCGAGCCAAGCCAAGCCAAGCCAAGCCCGGGCGCGGGCGGCGGAGGCTCGGGCTGCACTCAGCCACGAACAAAAGGCTCCTGGAGCTGCCCGCCCCGAACGGGATTCGCGATACCATGTCTCGCTGCAGCCCCTGGGCGCTACTTTTCGCCCTGGGCAGTCTGAGCGCTGCACAGCCCCGAGACCGGCAGTAAGTACCGGGAGGAGCTCGGGGCAGCATCCCCGGGCAGGGCGGCGGGGCGAGAACCCCTCTGCGAACCCCTCTGCTCGGGGGGAGCTGCATCAGCCTCTTAACAAAGCCCGCGGAGCCCGCCGGAGGGGTTGGAGGCTGCGGCAGCGGCACGTTTGTACTCGCCGGTGCAAAAGTGCACAGCGAAGGGAAAGGGAGGGGAAAAAAAAAAAAAAAAAGAAGGAGAAAGCTCTCTTGCAATACCTGCCTCCAACTGCTCCGGCGAGCGGCTGCAAAGCTTCTATCTGCGAGCAATTATTTAAGGAATCCGGGGTGTTGCGCTGGGGGTGGTTGGAGGTAATGCTGGGCGCTCACGAGGAGCGTGTGAAGATCCTGTGGGGGAGAAAGTGCGGGGAAGTTCTCTGGCTTTCAGCTCGTTCTGCGTGTTTAGGTTAGTTTTGAACCTACAGCTAGTTCTAGTGTGTTTAGGTTAATTTTGATTAAGGTTTGCTTTGTTCTTTATGCCTAGCTTGTTGTAGCCCGTCAGCAACGTGAATAGCTGCATTAACTGAGTGCCATGGAGAACTTATTTTCACTTGCTTACTAGAAAATATTTCGTATCCTGCCAAGTTTTAGTGTAACCTGACAGAGCTGATAGTCAAATGTGCTTAAAGGATCTGCCCTGTCACTGTCAAGTTAACGCTTTGAGTGCAAAGTTAAATATTTAATATTTAAATGCCACTTAAAAAGTGATTTAAATATTTGTGTCAAGGGACTGGTACTTCAGAAGGAGTTGCAGAGATTCAGAACAATATAAGTACATGTGCTTCACATATGGCACTGCAGAGCTGGGCTTATGTGACAGTTTAAATCCTATCATTTCATCCTGAATACAGCTAGTAGTCTTTCTTCCTCTGCAACTAGATCAGCTATCTCTTTCTTACCAAGAATTTGCAGGCTCAGTAGTAACTTTTTATTGTTATTCATTACTGCTCTGATGAACTTTCAAAGCTAGCAGCCAGAAGGTTTTGAATCTGCAAGTACCCCATGCAATTTAACTTGAATGCCACAGAGTTCTGAACTTCCTTTGGGGGTAATGGGATCTCCATGGCAATGAGGCCTGCTGAGAGAGAAATATGGGCTTGGAATTTGATAAAAGATGACTTGGGGGCTGTAAAACACCATCGGCCTCATCCCAAAGTGATAATTAATCATGAGCTAAAGCAACCTGGTTTGGGAGACTGTAGAAAGGCATGGGCTGAGAAACTGGGCTCTAAGAGGCATTTTGGGAATTGCCTCATATTAAAAAAAATCCTTTTTGGTAGAAAAAAACCCCAGAAAGGTGTGTCATGAAGAGAATATAAATGCATAGAAGAGCTCAGAGCCTGTAATGCTTTTAGTTGACAAGTTCCTGGCACAGTGCCATTCTTGGAGGAGTGGTGCAGATTCCATTCACAAATACTCAGGTTGCAGCATCTCTGGGAGGTCGTCTGGGGTGGCTTTAAAACTCTGCATGTGCCTGCTAAAATAATGCCTTTTTGCTGGTGTTTTTATACTTGCAGGTCATACTTGTTTAAATAAAAAAGTGGGAATTTGAGCCTAATCTTGTAACTGCTGCTTCTGTATAAACTGGAAGTTCAGGTGTGTTACATGTGTGTGAGTCTGACGTTTAGAAAGGGCCAAGTATCAGCTCTGAGAACTGTAAAAATGAAACCATGAAAAACGATTGAGGCAAAAATGTTACAAGTATCTAAACTGTTTCAAAACAAAGCATTAGCTGCAAAACTCTATCAGAGGTTCAGGTACCTCCTTATTCCTTCATGGACTTTATGATTTTTTATGATTAACTGGTTGTATGTTTAGTTTGTTGCATATAATATATAATCAGCTCATTGTATCTTTAGTTTGCTAGATATAAATGTATATTATATATATGCAATAAACATTGATATTGAACTCTTTTTATTTAAATCTTAAGGATTTATAAGCCATTTGTAAGCACTTAGGTTTGTTTCTGTGTGCATCCTGTGTTCTTTTATTCATATTAGATACAGGCTTAGACTGCTGGTGGTCACAAACGTGACCATACAGGAACAAATATGTCGCAGAGTAGTTTGTTCTTTTCCTTTTGCTACACATAAAGTGGCTCACAAATGATGATAATGCTCTTATTGCTGAGTCTTGACTGATTACTTCTAATTTTGGTTCTCAGGGGTTATTTGATTGCAGCACCTTCTGTTTTCCGAGCTGGTGTGGAGGAAGCCATAAGTGTGACCATCTTCAACTCTGCCAAGGAGACAACAGTCCAGATCCAGTTAGTGGTCAAAGGAGAAACTGTGTCACGAAGCCACGGAACAGTTCTGGGTAAGGTACTGTGATTCTGAACTTGAGAACTAGTTTGTAAGTTGAGGTGCTGTGGGAGCACAACAATATCTCTTAATTGCTTTAGGTGATAATGGAACTGGAGGCAAACTAATATCTAATTAATTGGCTACTGCTACACCACCTCACTTGATTGTGTCAATGTGTTTTTGATGTATGTGATAACAAACAGGTCAATAATTTTGGAACACCAAAACATACACAGATGTTGATATTCAAAAGTTTTATAGTGAATATCTTTCCTTTTGAAGCCTGAATATTTGTCACTGGGGGGCTATATGAGGAATAAGATAAGTTTATTTTAAAGAAAAACATAAAATCTGCATCATTATCATCATCATTTTCTTTCCTTATTTAAAAATAAGTGCTGGGAATACAGTCTCTCCATCTTCAGGACTGAGTGTGGCTGAGAGAGGTGGTAATATTTCTGCAGTTGGATAAGTCATTAAAATCCAAGGCAGATAGCTCTATCCTGTGAATAAAGACAGTGTTTTGATTACATCCAACTTAATGCTGAGTGAATTTACACTGGTGAAAGTGGAGTCCAGTAGCACTGTTGTACCACTGCTAGGAGTGGTGTGAGCTGTGTGGTCAACAAGGCTCAGGCAATCAGGCTCTTTAACCATCATATATTTTAACCCTTCTGTGTGTTAAAATTGGGAGTTATATACAAGCCATTTCCTTTCTTGGAACAGATTGTTTCTGGTTGTATCCTCCCCTTGTTGTCTTTGAAACTGGCTGACAATTGCAAATTAATTCAAAGGGAGTGATGCTTATACATATGGACAGCGTATGCTCAGGACAACTCTTAGGTATGCCCATATCCAGCAATCAAAATAGATCCTATCAGTGTTTTGAGAACTATTCAAGTCCCAGAAAAGGCCATGTTCCTTTTAACAGCAAAATACTTCTGTAAGCACAGGCTGCTCTGTGGTGAAACCTCAGCCTTGATGGTGCTCTCCAACCATAGAGAATTTTGCAGTTTATCTTGGGCAAAAATTGTGAATAAATGTGGACCAAGTTTATTTTGGAGAACTCTGCTTGGTCCAATTTGCTCACCCTGCAGGTTGTTTTACAGAGCAGGAAAATTATTTTAGGTGAAATCATAATGAGGGTGTGTCAGGGAGCAGCTCTATGGTATTTGCTAAACTGCAAATATCTAAAATGTTAGTGCCTTACCTTGAGAATAACACTCTCTCTTGCTCTCTTATTTTAGATAAAGGAACAATTAAACTGAAGGTAAGTGTCAATTATTTTAAGATGTTTTTGGCGAAAGTGTGAGGGACTTCCCTTCAGCCACATCAGGCATTGGTCTCTGAGCAGCTGAGGCACAAATACATGTCACATTCTGGTGCACACACTGAGGAGGAAGGAACCTGCTCAAGAGGAAGAGTGGAGAGTGAAAAGAGCAATGCTTGACCCATCACAGCTCACCTGTCAGGCCCTTAGACCACTAAAGAAAATCGGTGGCTCATGGCTCAATGTAAAGTTCTGTGTTGGGGTTATTTGATAAGAATGGCAGTACAGAATTCTGTGTAGGTTATGACTTCAAATGCAGGCAAAATTGAACCGGACTGAAGAACAAG